GCGAAGCTGTAAGCAAAATAAACACTGGTGGCTTGATCTTGGGCTAGAATCAACAGACTAGTGTTACTATTTGTAGCCGACATTGACATAGCTATATATCGCCATTCAGGATGACATGGTCACCCGATTGACAATGGAGGAACGACGCTACGTGACAGTGTGCGTGACTGTATTCGGAAACTCAACTGAAACCTGAAACCGCTTCCGCGTGGAGTTTGGAAAGGACCCTCCCTCACACCTGACGGTACGCAGGATCGACCAAAAGTTTCGTTCCACAAATTTCGTCGCTAATAACTGCGCCATCGTGTCCGTCACATACGTTACTGCCTGCAAGTCGATGGACGCCTCGTGGAGGCTACACGTTTCTCCTCATGACATGTATCCCAGTCCATCATAGCTTCTGTGGTCGTAATTAATGTTCAATCTGTGTGTATATTGTATCCTCTGTGACTGTTTCTGAGACTGAGTCCAAAATGTAACATGTTTTCCGAATATATGGTACGTCACATCCCATTTTCACGTCACAAGCTGTCAGGTGGAAGGTGAGCTATTTTCCTTGACCAAGATATTCAGATTCAGCAAAACTATAAGAAAAAAAAGTTATGAATTTTTGAGGGGACTGAGCCCTCGTCTCCCAAATTTTTTTGGAGTCCCGAGAACCCCTGAGCCCCCTATGAATCGCCGCCTATGACCAATGGAATTTTCCTCGGGATCATACTTCTTGTGCGAATCAACTGGAACGCCGGATTACTAACGTTCTGATAAGTGAGAGTTGACTGTGTAGAAACGAAGTTGGAAGGGAAGGAACCCAATCAGTTAGGGGATCTCTTTCCTCCACACCGCACCTACCATCCAATGGGAAAAAAATTGTCAATGCTACTAAACCAACTATACTTTTATTGGATATTATTTGCTGATAAAACACTCTCCTTGCCAACCCTGTGATTGATCTGCTGTTAGTTTTTGTTAGCTGTTAGTCTTTCTAGTTATCTATGAGAGCTTGATCGTGCTGAAAATTTGAAAGGCCGGGTGCATGAGAACTTGGGATTTTCGTCTTCTCTCTCATCGATTCGATAATGTGCGTTGCTGCGGGATACACATTTAGCTCAGTTTTCCACATTTGGAAGCACTTTCCCCCAGAATTCAAGAAATAATTGTCAATCAATAGATCTTGATTTCGAGTATTTGTCAGCGTTTTTCAGTGTCAAAATTGTTCATGATTTTCATTTCGAAAGTCAGCAAACAGCTATCGTTGCAGACAGCGATCGATGTTAAGAAAAAAAAATTCATTGGAACACACTGGAGAAGGCAAGGCACGAGCGACAAGGTCAATGGGTCAATACTAGGGCTGCTAGCATAGGCCACGGAGGCTCGTGAGAGCACGAATAATTTATTTGTTTTCCTCTTTTTTAGCCTGCTTCCCCACGTTGGCAAGATGATTTCCAGCTTACGTCATTTTCTCTCCACGAACTTCACTTTAGTGCGGATCGGACGATCGCATCGTCATGATCGAAACGACGAACGCCTTCCACGACACGGAGCAGCCCGAATACATCACACATTAAGTGTCGAGCATGAAATCGATCCCTCGTGTGCTGCCAGAACGGACGCTTGAAACGCCTGAGGTTCTGTTCGATCGAAGCCAGGCCTGCTCCCGCCCGTCTCCCTTCGAGGTCGGCTACATCCAGAATGACAAAGGGGCAATTATGGTCAAGGTCCGTTTACCGCAGAGCAGGACTACGTGCTTTTCGTTTTGGTCGAGTTCGGGACCTTTTGCTTCACCTGACTTCGTAAGATCCACGCATTAAACCTGAATCAGATAGAATCATGTGAAAAGATGACTAACTCAATGGAACGGTAGCACTCCGTCCCGAATGACAGATCTGCGTTTCAGCACGCTACCGGCAAATCCCTTGCAAGTATTCCGTTACTCCCTCACATTGTTGAAGAGAAGACTTGAATGAAAGTGCAAAGTGTCAACCTTTCCATTGCGAAAGGCGTCCCTTGCTGAAGAAGGTGGTGGTCACTTTGAACATGTGTTATCATAACACTCATCTGTTGCTCTCTTTCCATCGTTCTAAATCTATTGTGATAGCCATGAAGCCATGTTATGCTAGTCACACCTCTTTTCTGCCGTTTCTTCGTAAGTATCTTTCGCCCCACACTAATATCACCCCAAACTGCTCAGAAGCTGACGAATCGATTGATACCATAAACGGCACCAAAAAAAATTCCAGTGATTTTTTAATCACCCTGTACTATTATTATATATAAATTAAATAAAATAGAACGTCCTTTTTTTGGATACCCAGTAAATCGAAGTGAGAACATTTTTGCAGCTGATGGTAAACATCTCTCTAGGATGCGCATAGTTCATCCAAAACTTTAAGAGAGATGGTGCCAGTAGATGCATCAGTAATATATCTCAGCCGTATAATGCAGACTCTAGCAGGTGGCTTGAGAGTGGCCTGGTTTCCTTGATTCCCCTCGATCATCAGACTTGTTACACCCACCCAGTTCCACGGTCGTCATTCAGCTTCTTCAATACTGAAGCCCCTCCTGTGTAATCCACTGGCACCAGCGGAGACTCCACGAACGGATGTCTGCGACAGAGGACGCATGCGTATTGCGCCCACGAGGCTCACTTCGAAAAAAGGGGGCATGGCGTCATGCTTGTGTCTCGTTATTGTGCAGGAGGTCTAACAACCGTTGGCTAGTTGGCTCAGTTTCGGTGCTTTGAAAATAAATTTGTACCACCTTTTACATAGTGAAATGTTATTTCTATGGTGCATCCCAAGTTGCGAAAGCGTACCTCTCATGACAGATGTGATATTAGGCCTATGGAGCTTATGTTGAGTATGGTACGACTTCGTTAGGAAGTCATTGTGTTATGTGAACGTAGAGTTATCATATACATTTTTCTGTTCGAGGTCGAAAGAGTTCGAATCCTCAACCAGCTCTGATGCTTGTGCGCAGAAAATCTATGACGCCTGCCGAAGAAGTAAAATGCCTCTCTGACTGAACTTGTTTGGCTGAACAATATGCCTAAGGCTATTTTTTTAAGGTTTTTTTTTTNTACGACTTCGTTAGGAAGTCATTGTGTTATGTGAACGTAGAGTTATCATATACATTTTTCTGTTCGAGGTCGAAAGAGTTCGAATCCTCAACCAGCTCTGATGCTTGTGCGCAGAAAATCTATGACGCCTGCCGAAGAAGTAAAATGCCTCTCTGACTGAACTTGTTTGGCTGAACAATATGCCTAAGGCTATTTTTTTAAGGTTTTTTTTTTTCGGTTGAGATCGACACGTTTTCGCTCGGTACCGACAGCTCTGCATGGAGAGTGCTCCAGACAAGTGCTGGAGTCATTAAAAATTGTGGGATTCGGGTAAATACAAGGCATGCCTGATAATTTTCAGCACACAATTATTTTTAAATTTTAAAGTACTTATATCAAATGATACAATCCTGACTTGTGATGCATTTTAGACACCTTGAGAGTGAATTAAATGAATTTAAAATCATTATTTAATTTAACTAGATACCTTATAGAGGCTATTTTTCACAATGTCCTTTTGTTCTGGGATTCATAAACAAGCAACATTGCTTCTAATGAGAACCTTTTAACCCTTATTTGGGCAAGGAATATTTGTGAAAAATGAGCAAAAGCAAAATGAAAAAAAATGCTTTCCTTAAAAAAGAGTCAAAACTTTAAAAGTTCATTTTTGGATCTATGGATAACTCAATGAAATACATTCTATTAAATTTGCAGAAAATTGAAAAGAAAATTGCCAGAGTGATGCAATGAAATTTATGCAAAAGGATCATATAGATCCCCACTGCCCATACAAGGGTTAATGAAGAAGATAAAAGTTTGTGGCAAATTATATATTTCTGTAATTTTGGAGCTGTTGGTGAACAATGATAGCAATGTGCTGAGTGATTGTTCTTCAGACAGTAACATAGATTCAGATGTGGATTATGCAGTCACTCAAGTTCAATGAAGTTCAATCTGTTAAGTATGATCTCTTAGTGTTTTCTCCATATCTTGCTATCCAATTGTTAATTTAAGAATTTAATAGGAATTTGAATGTGTAGTACATATTCACAAAACCAAAAAGCAGTCTCATCCTGGGGTTTAGAATTTGCAAGTTCTATGCCTGGCATTTAAGTGTTATTGGCCAGTTTGAGATGAGGAATCTCAACATTTTTCCTTAACCCATTGCAGTACAAAGACAGGTATACTTGTTGCCTGGCGCTGTCTTGGAACATGCATTTTTGTTCTATATTTTCTTAATGCATTTTCAATTTTATGAATTCCAAACTGACAAATCTCAATGGATTTGTTAGAAGTGCTTTCCTAATAGATACTTGTAATGAAAGAAGAGAGTGGAAGGGCTTTGCTTCTCAGTATCGTGTGTTCTATATTCCTGCAGGTAACGTAGCTTTTTATAAAGGCTCACTTCAGAGTTGGCTCTGGCTTTGACTGGCATGCATGGTGATGGATGGCGTTGTCAGTTCAAGATGTATTCCAGTATTCCCTTGACATATGTTGGAAACCTCCCAGCCTTCATAAAACAAAGACTCATATTGCCCTGACTAGTTGACAAAGCCTTCCTCTATAAAAGTCAGAGGGGTTGCTATTTGAATCAGTCAGTTCTGGTTGCATAGAAACACTGAAAAATGCCACCTTCTTCTGGTGAATTGTGGGGGCATCATTTGATGCCTTCCACAATCATGGTGGACTGCCTCCTTCCAAGTGGAATCCTTGTTCCACTTCGGTGTGTCAGGGATGCTCCTCTACGTCACATCAAAGGTTTGTACTTCACTGTATCACCCTTCCATGAATATACTGAATCTGCCTTTCCAGCTGTTTCAGCTGTTCGTACCTTATGCTCAGGGCTGGTTTATTAAAAGGAAAAGGTTATGATAACAAAAAGGGGACTAATAAGGGCTGAAAATATAAACTTCTATGAAACCATACTTGACACCCTGTGGATATTATGAGTTTTGGGAATCAACCATTTCTGCCTTCTTTTTTGTGTTCCTTCAAAATTGTGTGGATGAATGGAATGCTTGAGAGTTAAGATTCCTGTTAAAAGATTAGAAGTATGCTGCACATCACAAATGAAACAATATGTACATCTTTGGCATCATTCATTCTAAAATTTATGAAATACACAAAAAAAATTAATCATATACATAGCCTGATTCTGCTCTCAATCATTTTTGCAGCTGAACTCTGGAGGGAAGCAAAGAAGTATCCTCTATACTCACGCCTCTCTGATTCATCATCCTACATCTTCATATCGGTGACTCAGGATGCAGAACGGGAAGAGTTCTACGATGAGACACGCCGATTATGTGACCTCCATCTCTTTCAACCTTTCCTCAAGGTCATCGAACCAGAGGGGAACAAAGAGGAAAAAATGATTAATTATGATATAGGTGGACCTCTCACATATTTTTCAGTTGGTTGTTCATCTTGAAAATTTCATTGGAATACATGTTGTACTTCTTCAATTTTAAGGTGTGGCTTTGGGATTGCCGGTACATGAGTTTGATGAAATGAATGACCCAGAAGTACAGGACTTCAGGCGGAACATTGTAGAGGTTCTTCAGGAAACAGTTGAGGAACGGGAACAAGAAGAGGAGGATAAATATCCAAAGGATCTCCTCTACATGTACCCACCAGAAGTGGAAGCAAGCCCTGAACTCCCACATGAGATTGATACAAAGCTGGAGAAGGGTCAGTTCATGCAAGCTCCAGAGATACTACATGAATCTAAGACAAAAAAATAATTTCCCCAGCACTCTGACACTATGATAGTCATACCTTTTTCATATTATAGTCATTTCAATTGAGAAGAAAAGCTTAAAATGCCTCCTTTATCGTGAGCATGTATAGCTTCAGTCATTTTCTCCATGTTCTTTACTCCTACATTAATGGAAAAGGATCATGTTTTGTAGCCTTCACCTACATATTGGTGTAACATCATTTAATTTATGGATTATTTTGTCACACAGCCTCATAATTTATTGCAAAATTTTGGATCCATAGCAAAAATCATCCAATCAGTATCAAGCATTGAAATTGAAAGTATTGGTTGTACGAATTCCACTATTGTGGGAAGTACACTTCACAAATTGTCTCATACACAGATAACAACACTTATATTATTTCATTTTCTAACCTTATATTCATTTCACAATTCAACTACAGCTATAAAAAGATGGGGTCTATTATGCAGGGATGCTTGTGGTTTGCATCTGGGTGAAAGCAAATGGTGGAGAGAAGCAGAAGTTCTCTGTCCTTGTGCCAAAAGATGCGTTCCCAAAGGCTGTCATTGCAGAGGCCAGTATCAAGAAAACAAGGAGCATGCGAATGACCATTGATCAACAGCAACAATGTGTATCTGAGTACCAAAACAATTACCTTCTCAAAGTCTGTGGCTGTAATGAGTACTTCCTGAAAAATTTTCCCATCTGTCAGTACAAGGTCAGTTTTGCCTCCATTTCTCTCCTGGCTGGGGACCAAAGCCTCTTTCAATGAATGCTTCCATGCAGTACATAAGGCGCTGTGTGACTCGAGGAGAGGTCCCCCAGTTGTTTCTGATGCCAAAGAGTGAAATCTATAAGGATCTCCTGCATTTATCATTCCACATTCCTGCATACATGCGGCGCTTTCCTAGCCCGCCAAGTAGCTCTACCATCCTTTTGTGGAATATCAACTCCATGTTCCGGGTGCAGGTACTCCTTGCCACATATGTAAATGTCAAGGACATCGATGAGGTTAGGACATATTACCTTATAATTGGATTAGTGAGTTTCCATCACTCTGTACTTGCTCTGAATTGAAGGGATGGGGGAAAATTATGATTACAGATATATGTGAGGACTGGAATCCATCATGGGGCTGAGCCAGTGTGTCCTGCCAAGGACACCTCTTGTGTTGTGTTCTCCAAGCCTCACTGGGGAGAATGGATCGAATTTGATCTCTATGTACCTGATATACCACGCAGTGCCAAGCTGTGCGTCTCCATCTGTTCTGTCACCAAAAAAAAGAAAAGAGAGGCAAGATAGTTCTATTCTCTTGCAAGTGACCAATGTTTTAATATGGAGCTGATACAGTCCAATGATCTCATATATTGAACTTTTCAAGACAGATATATATCTCATGTGTGTGTCTTCTCAGGAGCACTGCATGATAGCATGGGGGAACGTCAATCTCTTCAATTATCGGAACCACCTGTTATCAGGAAAGGTCTTCCTAAACTTATGGCCATGTCCAAAGGGTCTTGATGAACTTCTCAATCCTCTTGGTACCATAGGTGAGGCTTTGGACAATATTTTAGATCACCAATACCTATGGAAAGTGTTTTCCAAAGAGGTAACATAGTGTTTGATCTTGTTCAGGTTCAAACCCTAATAAGGAATCTCCTTGCTTGGAGCTAGAGTTTGAGCATTATCCAAATCCAGTGGCTTTCCCTGACATGAATCTGATTGAGGAATATGCTCGAGTGGTGGCTAAGAGGGAAAGAGACAAGATGCAAAAGGTAGAGTGCTCTGTTACCTTCAAGTTTCAAGTGTGTGCATCTCAAAACACAAAAAGCAAGCTTATCTGATTTGGGTTTGTGTATGTCCAATGAGCAGGTGACACAGGGAGAGATTGAGCTGATCATGGACATTACAAAACGTGATCCACTTTCTGAGATCTCTGAGCAAGAGAAGGAAATGCTGTGGCGGTTGCGTCGAGACTGTCGACTTGTGCCTGATTCACTGCCTAGACTTCTGGATGCAGTCAAATGGAATTCCAGGGATGAAGTCTCTCAGGTTCCTTCTTATTCCTCTTAAACATTCTTATGTGACCATCCTGCAGTTTTTTTATATTTTTTTAATGAGATTGTTGGTTTTTGCAGTTGTACATGCTTCTGAAAGACTGGCCTCAGGTTTCACCTGAGACAGCCTTGGAGCTCCTGGACTGTAAATACCCTGATCTCACAGTACGGAGCTTTGCTGTTGGCTGGTTGAATCGTACCCTCTCCAACGACAAGCTCTTTCAGGTACAGTATGCACCCTTCCTGCAAGCTGTTGAGAAACTTGCAAAAAAAGCTCTTCTTAGTGGTGTTTTTCTTTTTTTTTCTTAGTATTTGTTGCAGCTTGTCCAGACTCTGAAGTATGAATTATACATTGACAACCCCTTAAGTCGTTTCCTCTTGGAGAGAGCTCTTCTAAATCGCAAGATTGGACAATTCTTTTTTTGGCATCTCAAGTGAGTTCCTTAGCAAGTTTCTTAGTTACTACTTGCAGTGCCTTGATGGTCAATAGGTGAATTTTAAATTTAGGTCAGAGATGTCTAACTCCCTGTTTACGGTACGATTTGGGCTGGTCCTGGAAGCTTTTTGTCGAGGTTTGTGCTCCCACCTGAAGGGACTGATCCGGCAAGTGGAAGCCATGGACAAGCTCACCCTCTTAACTGATAGCCTGAAAGAAAAGAGGAATGAAACATACAAGGACCGGAACAAGTTCTTCAAGGAACAGATCCAACAGAGTGATTATATGGAGGCCCTGCAGAATTTCTCTTCACCTGTGAATGCAGCTCAGTACCTGGGCCAGTTGCAAGTGGAACCATGTCGGATTCTGGACTCTGCCAAGAAACCCCTTTGGCTTGTTTGGGAAAACCCAGATCCCATGGCTGAGCTTTTTTTCACTGACCATGCCATCATCTTCAAGAGTGGAGATGGTAAGCTCCCATCACTACCATTGTCTCTATTTTTATTCTCTTCTAATTAATGCCTAGTTTAATTTTGTTTAAAGACTTGAGACAAGACATGCTGACACTCCAAGTTATTCGGATCATGGATGACATCTGGATGAGTGAGCAGATGGACATGTGCATGCTTCCTTATACTTGCCTTGCAACAGGCAGAAAGGTCAGAAAGGGCTTCATCATATTCTTCATTTCTTTTTCATCATTGTCTTGCTATCCCTTTAAAGAATCATTCCTTGTTTGTAGAGTGGGATGATTGAAGTGGTTCGAAAAGCTCAGACAGTCTATGAGATCCAACGGAGAGCTGGAAGACTGGCTGCCTTGCAGGTCAATTCCTCCACTCTTCACAAATGGATCAAAGAAAAAAATAAGGACAGGTGGGAAATTAGTTCTTTGGGACATTCATGTCCAAGTCTATGCATTTTCCTGGAGAGCCACCTGTTAGGATGGATTGTACCTTTGCAGATATGACCAAGCGATTGAGACTTTCACACATTCCTGTGCTGGGTATTGTGTGGCCACCTTCATTCTTGGCATTGGGGATCGTAATCCTGACAACATCATGGTCAATGAGGATGGACAGGTCAGCTTACTCTCTCCTTTGCAATTGTCCACTCTTTCAAATTATTTTTTGTTTTGGGAAATTATTTCTATCACTTCCAGATCTTCCACATAGACTTTGGTCATTTTCTGGGCCACTTCAAGAAGAAGTTTGGCATTAACAGAGAAAGGGTGCCTTTCGTCCTCACTGATGACTTCCTCCGTGTCATTGCCAAAGGTGCTGACAATCCTGAACTCAGCCCAGAGTTCGAGCAGTAAGTGTAACACTCCTCTCTTGTATGGGATGCTCTCTGTACTAGATTGGAGCTCAAGTGTTGTTTTTGCTGTTTCTCAGATTCCAGGAACTGTGTGGCAGGGCTTACTTGGTGCTGCGTCGACATAGCAATCTTCTCATCACTCTCTTCACCATGATGCTTTCCAGTGATATACCTGAACTTCAGGTCAGTCTGTGACTTTCATGAGGACTCACATTCTACATCCATTTGGTTTAGCCAGAGCATATTGTCTGCCTCCCTCTAGTCAATAGATGACATTGGGTACCTCAGGAAGACACTGGCTGTGGAGAAAACTGAAGAAGAGGCCCTCAAATACTTCCAGAATCAGTTTCATGATGCATATGGAGGTGGATGGTCTACTAAACTTGACTGGTTCTTCCATTGGGTCAATCATATGTGATTGAACTCTTGGGTCAGCATCTTGCTGATAAAACCAAAGATTTTGATCTCCATTGAGATCAGATGTCAGTTTGATCTGTGGTTCCTTGGTCTATGAGTGAATAGGTGGTGACATTAGAGGAAGGACAAGCTCTAGGCTCAGGACATCAGGATGCAGCTCTTTCCAATGCTCAGGTGATACGAGGTTCCTCCACAGTAACCAGCATTACCCCAGATTACTATTATTTTTTTGAAGTGCTATTGTTGCAGATTCTGATGTGCTAGAATCCTCTTGCAATAGTGTTTGCCAGATTAGCTGATTTATTTATTAGCTTCAACTGAGCATATGAATGACTTTGCCAGGACAGCTGATATTCCCACAAGAAGGAATCAGATACACTTGTTGATAAATATCCCTTTTCCTTTGATGGCATGTTATAAATTATGTAACGAACATTTGCCCCCAAAACTGTCTGTTGCCTCAGAAAAAAAGTAAATGTTTCAAAACAAAACTGCAAATGTACTACACCATAAATGTAGCAATTTTTTGTCTTGAGTTGCATATTCAAGCTGTTCTCTCTTTGACTGGCACTTGGAAATCTTGTATACTTAGAGCACTGAGTGATGCTTGCGGAATTTGAAGCTGCATTGGCAAGGTCACACCTCTTTAATATGTAACTTGAGATGACAAGAAGGTGATGAATTCCATTGTGAAAACGAAGAGTGGATCCTGCAATATAGCAAACTTAAGGATAGTGGAGGGGCAAATTGATCTTTTCTGACATTTTCCTCGTATACTGTGACCACAGCAGGACTTATGATTCTTACAAAGTGTAGTACTTGAGATTGGCAATATTGGAAAGCTGGTACAGGTGTTCATGGATCATGAGAAATATATTTCTCAAATTTTCAATCCTCAATCTAGGAAGCATAGATGTCCACTCAGCAATGGAAAGTGGATGTCAGAGGACTAGCCAATGTTAATGGCCATTTTTTCTTCCTTATCAGTTTTTCTTTCATTGGAGGATAGAGAATATAACTAGAGGTAAGACTCCACCCAAATCTCATTCATCGATAAATCCTCTTTGGCCAAGCAGTGGACTCCATGAGACACTTGTTTCTGTCAAGGGATTTCCCATGGAATGTGAATCCCTGAATGAGTTTAATCCCTATTCTACTGTCGTAAATCATGCCTAATGAAAGTATTATTGGCTGGGGGCCACTAAATGCCTCAGTAATATTTAGACCCCCCCCCCCTACCCCTTTAGTGTCACCTCTAGTTGAATGTCTACTTCTGCTTTGTATGCCATTTCCAAGCTCATATGCCTTCAAAGAAAGTTCATCAAAGCTCCAGCATAATAAACTAGCATATCCAATATTGAAAACTTGATAAGAGTCAACTTGGCCTGAAAATGGAATATCACTCAGGAGATTTACTGCTCTAGGTATATATGATTTCATGATCTCTATAGTCAGGTACATTGAAAGTTCAGAAAGTTATAATCCTTTCCTGGTTAGAGCTGGCTACAGTACTATTTCATCAAAGACTGTCTTAGAAAATATCAGCCAGAGACTCTACTTAATTATAATTAACAAAAATAGGAAACTGAATTTAAGGTTAAGTTGAATGCAATCACATGTGCCTGTGACAACAGAGTTGTATGACAGAGTGCAACTTGCGTGAAATGAAGGTTCATTATACTGAAAGATATTGTATAGGGTGTCCCAAAAAAAGCTGTCATATAATAGCTTGTGACTAACCCATCTTATTTTCATGAGGGTTTTTTCCTGTTCCAGATGCAAGCAGCAATATTTCTGTTAACTAACAATAGAAAAGCAGCAGTATTGACACATATCATGGGATCAAAATGAATTGTGCCACAGTGATCTTTTACTCTGAGCTGATGTAATGGCTTTTCAGAAGACAGTTCTAGAGGAACCAGTACTCCTAGAACAATGATGGAATTTGAAGGGATAGTGGAATAAGATCCCATAGCCTTTAATTTATTTTGAAACTAAAACAGATGGTGCTGCAGAGAGGCCTTAATCCATCTTTATTCAAGGATCATAGGGTTTTCCAGAATTGATTTCTGCAGAGCCATCTCAGCAACTTGATCAAATAAGGCTTTGCTCCTGCACAGTTCATATTGGTCCCATAATAAGATTCACTGCTATTGCTCTTTCTTGATTGATTGACTTTGCTGATTACATCAAGAACAGATAATGATGCATGTGATTATCAAATGAAACTCTTTGAAGCAATTAAAGGGCATTGATTTTGGGACACAACTTGTAAAACAATTTGTAGCTGGAAGTGAGTGGGGAAGAAAAATTGTCTTAGATTCTGTCTCTTGTGCCAATTGTACAGATGAGGACTTGCTATCTTCTTAGCTGAATTTTTTTTAAACTTAAAAACTACTTTCAACATCTGACTCCTGTTCTTGTGACCATCTGGAATTTTGAATAATATATTGCAAGGAGAGAAACTTGTGATGATGCCTTATATAATGATGGCATTCTGTGATGGACATCCTTTTAGCCCTGCTATAATTTTCTTTCATTTGCTGGCTTTTGTTCTGCAAGGGAAGATCTCCAAGTCTGTGTATTTGTCTTGAAAGATCTGATGGAATATTATGAAGCCCCTTGATTGTCTTGAAATTGCCTCTTTGCTTTTCTGACATTGCCTTCTGTAAATCTACAGCTCACCTTTGGGTCTTAATGGAGTTGGTTCTCATGAAATGGTCCCACTTCTGCTAGACCTTGTTTACTGTGATAAGAGCAAGGTCTCAAATACCTGGGAATCCATTTTTTTAATATCAAAGATGAGCTTCTCTATCTCTCTCTTTTTCCTTCTTTCTTTTTCTCCTATGATGAAAGTTAATTTTTGTCATGGTTGAGAAATGAATGAAATCCTATTTCCTTGTTATATTTATGGGCTTTTTTATTTTCCAAGTTCATGCATCTAATTATTGAACTGATATGGATTACTTCTCCTAGATCTCATAACTCAGCATGAGACAGTGAATTTAATATTCACTGTTGGGAACAGAATTCCCCCTGACCATGTGTCAGTAAAAAAAAATGCAGGAACATTCTCATAAAACATCCCTAGAAGAAACATCTCTGAGTGACTAAGTCTGAAAATATATTACTTTGATAAAGGTTAATTAGCAGAGGTAGTGAGGAGCAATTGGTCTGTTCAAGATGGATTTGTTGGAGAAGTGTCTGACCAAGATCCGTGTCCCAACGGGAGGAGACCTTATCTTCAAAGATGAATGCTTGTTCTCTTTTGACACCCCTGTTAGTTCACCCTGACATTGTACAGGGTGTTCCATGAATTAGTTTAGCAAGGGATTTTCAGCTATTCCCACTTTTGTTAATTTAATTAATGTGTGATATTGTTTTTATTAATTGCCATTATTGTTAAAAGTTTTTATTTTCATTTTAAGCGAAGGAAGATGCACACTTAAGATTTTCTTCCTGACATTTAAATTAATAGCTTAGTTAACCCTTTCATGGTGTATGATCATTATAAGGATCATATTTTTTAACTATCTTTATCTAGTAACTAAAACTAGATTTGAAATTATACTGTTTGATAGCTCTTGACAAGGACTATTTGTGGATACATTGTTCAGACAGGCTGTTATTCAGGCATATTGGATCAAAAGCAAGGTTGTGAAGAGAAAATGTGGGGGAAATTTATAGTTATTTGTCTTCATAATTCAGCAATGAAAGGGTTAATAAGAATTTAGCATAGATGAAAACCCTTTGGAAAACTGACTTATGGAGCACCCTGTAGATAGTTCTTTGGATAACTTCATCATGCAAGGTTGAGAGTGCATTTATTCTGTGACCTCTCAACAGGAATCCCCATCAGGTCTCTACGTCTGCCTCAACACCTTCCTTGGATTTGGTGAGCCATATGTGGAACTCTACTCAAATGTGACTGGGCACCATATCTTTCTGCATCTACGGCAAATTAAGAAAGAAGTGAACCTGAAACTCCATATCAATGTCTGCCTTTGATTTATCAAGTGGATCTGTAACATCATTGTTTGGTATTACTTACCTAAGATCCCCAGGCAGCAGGATGAGAGTCCAGAAAGAAAGGTGAAAAGGCTTGCTCTTGGAGTCCCAGATGGATTTGATCCTGATGCTGGCAAGAAATATGAATTTGAAGAGCGGAATGGCATTGTGATCATGCCTGGCTATACTCGCATCCCCTTGCCCAACCCAGAATTGCCTGGAAAGGTCAATTTATCTCAAGCATATAGTGTTTAATGTATTAAGTCCTGAGCCATATGTAAACATATCATGCTTTCTGGAGATGTAAGAGAGATCAGCCACACATTGACATATGTAATTTTGACAAAACATTGCTCAATTAAAGTCAGAGTTTTTGTATGGAAAATGAAGTATGTCAGGTTAACATGTTCTGTTACCACAGAGTTCTTGAAGTTGTATAAGTGTTGATGGCTTCTTCAGGTTCAAGATGCAGTAGCCATGATCCTGGCAGCAGATTCAGCCCAGAAGCTCTCCCAGCTGCAGGCAATGGCAGGTACATGGGACGGAGAGGTGCGGCAAGTCTCCAAGTGAGTGGAATCACTGTCTTATTCAGGGTGGGGCAAAAAAACAAAGCTATCATTTTTGTGAGTTGTCAGTCTGATTGTAGGCTGCTGATTCTGATGAAATTTGGTAGGCACATAAGTGATTCAATTAGGGTTTGTGTGCCAAGTTTCAAATAAAAATTCCAAAAACTCTGAGATTGGCATTTAATTTACTTTTCATCACCAAAAAAGTGTTCATTTTTTCTTTCATCTTGAAATTTCTCATAACTGACAAAAACAAACAAGCAAACAAAAACAAAATCCACAAATACCAAAAACGAATTGCACACAATTTGGTTTAAGTAGGTTCAATTCAACTGAAAAGGTGCTCAATGTGCCCTCCGCTCTGCTGAACACAAGCCTCTAGTCTGGGATGCCACAGATCAATGGCTCTGTCAATAAATCTTTGAGGCAGTGCCTCAATCTTCCTCTATAGCATCATTAACTGAAAAGGTGCTCAATGTGCCCTCCGCTCTGCTGAACACAAGCCTCTAGTCTGGGATGCCACAGATCAATGGCTCTGTCAATAAATCTTTGAGGCAGTGCCTCAATCTTCCTCTATAGCATCATACAGGGATGAATTTGCTCCTCCCATTCATCCCAGCCTCAGGTTCATATCTAAATTTTCAAAAGCACATTTTTTCTCAGTCATCAGAAAATAATTACAGCTCCTATAATTTTAGAGCCACAGGGCTGAAATTTGATGTAAAAACTAATTGTGCCACCCTTTAAGCCTACCAAATTTAATCAGAATTAGCAGCCTACTGTGAGATTGATGGCTCACAAAAATGTCAGCTTTGTATTTTTTGGCCCAACCTGTATATCCAGTGTCAGACTCTTGAATCCCCATGGATGAAACTCTTTGCTTCGACACCTCTGTCGGTTTGATTAAGCCCTGTCAAACATTCTACTGGCATGAATCACAAAAAAATGTGTGCTACAGAGATCTGTTGAATCCTAGAGAGGAGCATATCCAATTCTATAGATATTTGAGAAAATTAATTCAAATATAAAATGTATGAAAGTTACTGAATTATAGTTAATTTTTTTCTTGAAATTTTTACCTAATATCACTTTTTATGGTGTCCTACCATTGGTGGACTTTCCTTACTTCACTGCACCTTTGTTGGTGGAACCAAACCTCTTCACTTGCAGTCAGCTTGGATCAAAGTATTAGTGAAATTACAATTAATCATGCCTGAGTACTAACTTGATACAATGAGATGGTGGAGGTATATATACTCATAATTCACTTGAAAGAAAGGATCTGAACTATCTACACAATTTAGCTGGAGTGGCAATACTGCATTATTCATGAGCCCAATTGTTTACACAGCATAAAATCTATGCAGTATCAGTCATCATTGAAGTAGGCTGATATTTTTCTAGTGTCTGTACTTTTTAGTGTATCTTTCCTAATAAGAAAGAAGTCGACTTGTAGTCTTCTGCTGTCTACTTGGGTGTATGTGTATCTATTCTTGCTTTCATTGTCTCTTGATAGCTAAAAATATACATATTGTCATTATTACTCATTATTATAAAGGTTGAACACATACTGTTTTTCTAGGCATGCAGAGGCCCTGCGACAGCTGAACAATGGAGTGAAGATTCCACCAAAGGGCTGGAAGTGCTCTATGTGTGAGAAGACAGATAATCTCTGGCTTAACCTCACAGATGGTACCATCCTTTGTGGCCGGAAATATGCCAATGGTTCTGGTGGAAACAACCATGCTGTTGATCATTACAAGAACACTGGTGATAAAGCTACTGCTCCCAGCTTTGCTTCTGCATGTTAAAGTCATGGAAAGTGAGTTTCCAATTTTATGGTCCTGGTTACAGGCTTCCCATTGGTGGTAAAATTGGGGACAATCACTCCAGATGGGAAGGCAGATGTTTACAGCTATGATGAGGATGATATGGTTGAAGACCCCAGGCTCCNTGTTTAATGTATTAAGTCCTGAGCCATAAGTAAACATATCATGCTTTCTGGAGATGTAAGAGAGATCAGCCACACATTGACATATGTAATTTTGACAAAACATTGCTCAATTAAAGTCAGAGTTTTTGTATGGAAAATGAAGTATGTCAGGTTAACATGTTCTGTTACCACAGAGTTCTTGAAGTTGTATAAGTGTTGATGGCTTCTTCAGGTTCAAGATGCAGTAGCCATGATCCTGGCAGCAGATTCAGCCCAGAAGCTCTCCCAGCTGCAGGCAATGGCAGGTACATGGGATGGAGAGGTGCGGCAAGTCTCCAAGTGAGTGGAATCACTGTCTTATTCAGGGTGGGCCAAAAAAACAAAGCTATCATTTTTGTGAGTTGTCAGTCTGATTGTAGGCTGCTGATTCTGATGAAATTTGGTAGGCACATAAGTGATTCAATTAGGGTTTGTGTGCCAAGTTTCAAATAAAAATTCCAAAAACTCAGATTGGCATTTAATTTACTTTTCATCACCAAAAAAGTAAGTGTTCATTTTTTCTTTCATCTTGAAATTTCTCATAACTGACAAAAACAAACAAGCAAACAAAAACAAAATCCACAAATACCAAAAACGAATGCACACAATTTGGTTTAAGTAGGTTCAATTCAACTGAAAAGGTGCTCAATGTGCCCTCCGCTCTGCTGAACACAAGCCTCTAGTCTGGGATGCCACAGATCAATGGCTCTGTCAATAAATCTTTGAGGCAGTGCCTCAATCTTCCTCTATAGCATCATGCAGGGATGAATATGCTCCTCCCATTCATCCCAGCCTCAAGTTCATATCTAAATTTTCAAAAGCACATTTTTTCTCAGCCATCAGAAAATAATTACAGCTCCTATAATTTTAGAGCCACAGGGCTGAAATTTGATGTAAAAACTAATTGTGTCACCCTTTAAGCCTACCAAATTTAATCAGAATTAGCAGCCTACTGTGAGATTGATGGCTCACAAAAAATGTCAGCTTTGTATTTTTTGGCCCAACCTGTATATCCAGTGTCAGACTCTTGAATCCCCATGGATGAAACTCTTTGCTTTGACACCTCTGTTGGTTTGATTAAGGCCCTGTCAAACATTCTACTGGCATGAATCACAAAAAAATGTGTGCTACAGAGATCTGTTGAATCCTAGAGAGGAGCATATCCAATTCTATAGATATTTGAGAAAATTTATTCAAATATAAAATGTATGAAAGTCTACTGAATTATAGTTAATTTTTTTCTTGAAATTTTTTACCTAATATCACTTTTTATGGTGTCCTACCATTGGTGGACTTTCCTTACTTCACTGCACCTTTGATGGTGGAACCAAACCTCTTCACTTGCAGTCAGCTTGGATCAAAGTATTAGTGAAATTACAATTAATCATGCATGAGTACTAACTTGATACAAAGAGATGGTGGAGGTATATATACTCATAATTCACTTGAAAGAAAGGATTTGAACTATCTACACAATTTAGCTGGAGTGGCAATACTGCATTATTCATGAGCCCAATTGTTTACACAGCATAAAATCTATGCAGTATCAGTCATTATTGAAGTAGGCTGATATTTTTCTAGTGTCTGTACTTTTTAGTGGATCTTTCCTAATAAGAAAGAAGTCAACTTGTAGTCTTCTGCTGTCTACTTGGGTGTATGTGTATCTATTCTTGCTTTCATTGTCTCTTGATAGCTAAAAATGATGTATAACAGTAATAATGAGTAATAATATTTCCAACTTGTGTATGACAAAAAGATCCGTACGTCTCCGGGACGCTGTCGACTTGTTACCTCACTTCTAAGGTGGTTTCCCGACCTTCACGAGATACTGTGAGAAGACAGATAATCTCTGGCTTAACCTCACAGATGGTACCATCCTTTGTGGCCGGAAATATGCCAATGGTTCTGGTGGAAACAACCATGCTGTTGATCATTACAAGAACACTGGTGATAAAGCTACTGCTCCCAGCTTTGCTTCTGCATGTTAAAGTCATGGAAAGTGAGTTTCCAATTTTATGGTCCTGGTTACAGGCTTCCCATTGGTGGTAAAATTGGGGACAATCACTCCAGATGGGAAGGCAGATGTTTACAGCTATGATGAGGATGATATGGTTGAAGACCCCAGGCTCCCAGAGCATCTGGCTCACTTTGGAATAAATTTTTCCTCCATGGAGAAGGTAGGTGATACATCAGGACTTATCACATGGACTATCTGTTCTTCTCTCTTCTATTCAATCTAACCTTGATCTCCCTGTAGACAGAGAAGACAATGAATGAGTTGGAGATAGAATTGAATCAGAACATGGAATGGAGCCTCATATCAGAATCAGATCATCAGCTCCAGCCCATGTATGGTCCTGGCTACACAGGAATGATCAACATGGGGAATTCATGCTACATGAACAGTGTCCTTCAGGTCCTTTTCACCATCCCTGAATTCCAGGCCCGGTCAGTCTGGCTATTAAATAAGTTCTCCAATGGAGAAGAATCCCACAAATAAGACTTCTTCAAACTGTCTTTCTAGGTATGTGAACAAGGCTCAGGAGATCTTTCGTGACTGGATGGCATCTGGACAGAATGATCCTATGGGTAACTTCAACTTGCAGATGTGAGTTTTTAATGCTACACTTCATCCTCGTGTATTGATGTCTGATTGAACCTACATCTATTGCAGGGCAAAGGTAGGGATGGGTCTACTCTCAGGCAGATACTCTTCAGCTCCTCATGGTGGCACTGGTATGGAGGGAAAATCCTCTGGGATCCATCCAGCCATGTTCAAGAACCTCATTGGGAAGGGACATTCGGAATTTGCCTCTAAGCGCCAGCAAGATGCTCAGGAGTTTTTCCTGCATCTCTTTACACTGCTGGAGGTCAGCAGTTGGCTGTACTTATTTTGTATCTTCTCCATTCTGTACAGTTTTGACTAACACAGAACAATGACTTCATGCAGAGGAATAGTCACAACCAGGTGAACCCAGCTGAGTGTTTCAAGTTTCAAATTGAGGAACGTTTGCAGTGCTGTGCATCACAGGAGGTGAGATACCTTACACGCCCTGAGTACCTCTTGGCACTTAACATTCCCATGGATGCTGCTATTAACAAGAGTGAAGTGGCTGCATTTGAACAAAGGAAGAAGGAACTAGAGAAGGCAGGACAGAAGATGTGAGAGCTGATTTATTCTCCCCCTTTCATTTTGCTTTTGCATTGCTTTGAAGAAGTCCTTCTTGCCAATGCACAGAGATCCAAAAGACACAGTGAGGCCTCAAGTTCCACTCTCAGCATGTTTGGAAGGATTCTCCATGCCAGAACAGGTTGAGGACTTCTTCAGCACAACCACAGGAACAACTGGAAAGGCTCTCAAGTAAGTGTCAGACAATTTTTTTCTACTGTTGACATGGGATTTATTAGAAAATCCTCATTACTGCTTTGATCTTTCTGACACAGGACAACACGCTTAAAGACATTTCCAGAATATTTGGTGCTGCAGCTGAAGAAATTTTGTTATGGGGAGAACTGGACACCAGTAAAGATTGATGTGAGCGTGGATGTCCCTGATTACCTGGACCTCGAGTTTCTGCGTGGACAAGGACTCCAACCTGGTGAGAAGGAACTCCCTGAACTCAAGGGAGAAGTCCCAAGTAAGGCTGGATAATTCATACCTTTTTATCTTATATATCAAATATTTTCAGTTTGTTGATTGGCAAATTGTACAATTTTACAGAGTTTCAGTTTGATGAGGAGACAATAGCAAGGATGGAGGAGCTGGGCTTCCCGAGAGATGCCTGTAAACGGGCATTGTATCATACGAAGAACAGTGGGATCGAGGCAGCCATCAACTGGTGCATGGAACATGCTACAGATGCAGATTTCTATTCCCCATTTGTGATTCCTGGGATGCAGCAGAGTGGAGGTGGTACAGGAGAATTCCTTGTAGATGAGGAGGGGCTGCAGATGATCATGAGTCTGGGATTCACCAGGGAACAAGCCCATCTTGCTATGAAGGAAACTGATAATAATCCTGAGAGGGCTGCTGATTGGATTTTCTCCCATCAGCACGAGTTGGATGAACTGGTTGCCGGGGCGGCAGCTGCCAGTCCACCCCTGCAGACTAGAGATGGTCCCCCACGTGAGTACTTTGCTCTTGTGCAGACTATTGTGCATAATCAAAATATCCAATAAATAGTGTGTAGAGTAACTAGGTATCTTGGTTTGCCTGGGACAGACAAACCATGTCTCTGTGAAAATCCTCAAAAGATGATATCAAAAGGGTTGTTTAAAAGTAGATAAATACAGTATGAGAGGATAATTTTTTAAATATTCAACTGCCTTTTTTTTTGTCAGGTTACCGTCTTGTGGCCTTCATCTCCCACATGGGAACCTCTACAATGGTGGGTCACTATGTGTGTCACATCCTCAAGGAAGGTCATTGGGTGATCTTCAACGATGAGAAAGTGGCCTTGTCTGAGCACCCACCAAAGGACCTTGCGTACCTTTATTTCTACCAGAGGATCAATGCCCATGAATAGGCACCTGCAGATTCTGTGATAAATTGCCGAATCTAGTGCAGTGCAGTGAAATGAAACATCGTCCTTGTTTTCTTGTGATTCTCCTGATAATAAAAAAAATGAATAATACGAAGGAAGAAATCCAGTGAGGCTTGAAATTTCACTTTTATCAGAATTCCCATTTGGATGGGAATCCTTGCAGTGAATATATATATTCCATCTCACAGCAATAAACAGATGTATCTGGATTGCACCTCCCCTCTTTTTTTTCTTATATCACTAACAGATACGAGGGCGATTCAGAATGTTAAGTCCATTTCTCACCCGTAGAGTTTATATCTAGTAAACTGATGGCTTTGTGAAAGTGCATGCCTTGCCTGGTATCAACACGTGGAACGTGTTGATACCATGCTGCATTCCACACAGTGTATGCACCGCACATTACACTCTTGCATACGGCATACATACTGAAAGAACTTGATCATATATTTGTGCGCAATCAGAGCGTCAGGTTCGCAAATTCACCTACACTTGCACGCCCTTGTCAAAAGCGTTCTTACTACCAGTAAACTTGTCATTCAAGTGATGTCTCGGTACTCGGCAACAAGCTGTCAGTGAATTTCACTAGGTTTCTAGATTTTCGCACGCAGAAATCCGATCGCATTCCGCCGTTTTTTCGACATGGACATTCCTCTAGCACGTAAACCACACACGAGTGTATTGCGAATGCACCATCGGTACCAGTCGTTTTATTCCACACGTTGACTCCAGTCGAGGCATGCACTTGCTCACTGTTATCACGGTTAACGAATTTGAACGTCACACTGGAGAAATTATTGAAATGACTGTACTTTTTGAACCGCCCTCGTATATTAAGTTTGTAAAATCCATGTAGGGGGGATAGAACTCGATTGTTGACCATAGGGGAATGGTCTGAATCTTAGGAAAGAGATGCAACCGTCCCGTTGAGACCAACGCAAGATGCCTCGATGGGATGCAGGTACACGTAGACTCTGAAAAATAAAAATAAAAAAGAAACATGGAATATTTTTGTTTTCACTGCGAAGTACGACGGAAAGGCAGTGGCGAACCTGTCGAGTGCGAGTCCAGAGTGCTCGGTGAGGAATTTGGAAACGGCAGCGACTTGAGTCTTTCCTTCCTGGGAATCCCGCCCGATCCCGATGGCCGTGATCTGCACTTGTAGAAAGGGATCGAAGCTCCCTCCCCGACTCATCCGTTGCCCGGTCGCAAGCCTCACCGACACCCTCTAAAACCGGAGAAACGTTCTCGCGAATCGACGAGAGATGGAACGGACTCCGCGAAAGATAGAGGAATCGATCCTCTCACAGATTCGGGCTTGTGGAAGGTATCGGCAACGCATTTTGACAGGGCGAGGTGGAACTCCTCGGAGAACTTCTCGTCCGGCAGATTCGTCTCCAGCAACACGACAGGCATCCTCGAACCGACGAAAGCCACGCTTCCTCGCAAGTGGACGAGACGGCACTGCTCACGTGACACCCTTGAGAGGTCAACCAGACGGACTCGATCCTGCGTCGTCCTCGTCTCTCGCTCCTCCCCTCTTCCCTTCCTCCCACGCCATCTGTCGCAACCCTAAAAACTACACGGTTGATTCTTATCGTGGCAGAGGTCTCCGAGTGTTTGATCCCAGTCGAGACTCGTGGACGAAGTGCTCGGTAGATGCATTCAACAGATACACATTAAAGCAGTAGGGGAATTGCCTAGTCGACACACGGGGGGGGGGGGGACAGAGATTCAGGATGTCATTCCCCTCTGACATCGCATCTAAATCCCCCCCCCCCCCCCCCCAAACTCGAAACCGAAGTGCGCTAGTGGCTTCGACGGCTTAGTAGCTGCCTTTGGCAGTGAGCCTTGAATCACGAAGCATCGACTCGACGTCGGGGTTGCGAGGCATCGTGCACGAATCTCGACTTCACTCATAAGCTCCTCTCGTTTCGTCCATGCACGCGAAGCAATCGGCTGCCTTCGTATTTACGCGGGCTCCTTACCCTGCGACCCCTTCGTGCTCCCGACGATTCGCCTCTTGCAGGCGGTATCGAAAGACGGAAAAGGTTTTCCCGGAGTCACTGCCGCTTTCTCGGTTTTCACGGCCGACGTCACGAGTGCGTGCGTAGCGAGTGGCTCGAAACGAGGTCGTCGTGCGCACTTCGAGTCGTGCCGGACGGTCGGACCCCGGGCTCGTAAAAAGGAGCATTAATCTCTGCAGACTGACTTCTCTCGTCCGCGCGTGTGTCTTATTAAGACGGGAGAAGGAGCAGGACCCGATATGGATCTCGTGGGAGAAAGACTGGCCGAGAGCCAAAATGAAACGGGGATTCTTTTCGTTCTCGTCCGTTCCTCTCCGGTTCGGCCTCGGACCGGATCCGATCGCCGGACCGTCGAGCGGCATCTCTCTCTCGGCCGCAAACGATCTCGCGAAGCGTCACGCGTGCAAACGTCGAGCGTTGATCGTCTCGAGGTGGCACCCGCATCGGATCGTCGCGAATGCCACGTGCGCAAGCCTAACTTGCTGATGGAGAGGGATGGGATCGGACGGGATCGGACGGGATCGGACGGGATTCCCCTTCGCCGGAGATCCACTCGAGACGGAAGATGGACCGAGAAGCGAGACGGAGATTCTCTTCCCGATCCCCAACGACGCCTTGGATTTCGAGTACGTTTTTGGGGCGTGCACAGTTTCCTCGATTCCTCCACGTCTGCCGTCGCACGATCCACAGCTCTGATCTTTAAATAATAATAAAACCATATACGGTCGACTCGGTACTGATGATACCAATCGATTCGCGTACTTCGCTTGGCGGAATACCATCGCGCGATTCCGATCGATTGATTTATTATTTTTATTTTATTTATTTTAATGTATTTTGAAATGCATCGCACGAAGAACAGTGACTAGAATAATCGCTGAAAGGAATAAGCTTCCTGAGAGGTCCTAGAATTTCTTTAAAATCGTAGTAAAAGGAAAAAGTCACGAGCAGTTCCCACTTGCCTTTTCCTTCAACCGAGGGCGGGGGGGGGGGGGCAGTAAGGCTCTAAATCAGGGGTGCACTACTCAAAATACTGTGAGGGCCATTTCCGATTTTTACTCACCTACCGTGGGTCGCAGTCTGGCCGACTAGAGCTGTAGCCAACAGGGCGGGAGCCATAGTAGCACTTACGATGCCACCGGTCACGGTGGGCCGCGAACAAGGTCCTTGCGGGCCGTACATCGTGCATCCCTGCACTAAATCTTCTGCTCGGACTGCACCTCTGCACGGAGGCCATCCGTGTGTCAGCCCTCCAGGGCTATATCAACGGGGAATTGGATTCAAAGACGCGTGCCGGCTGCCAAGACGAAGCGGATCCCACTTTTTTTTACTAAGTGCCATGTGAGAGCCGACGGAGAGAATTTTTCATTTCTGAAAAATTACGATCGGTGTAGAGGAAAAGAGCGGATATGTAAATTGAAAGAAAATATGCTCAAAAGCGCGTGAAAAATGTTGTACGTACGTTCGTAATAAAATACGAATGCACAAAAGACGGAGAAAATGAGATAAAATGTAACAGAAAAAACTAAATGCGTGAAAAAATGCAAAAAGAATTTTTTTATTTATTTCGAATGCGCAAAGACGGGTACTGTACTATATCTTTAATTTAAAAATAACTTGAAGTCCGATGTACGGAACGACCATCTCGGTTATCGAATTACTCCAGTTCGTAGAATTGACTGATCGGACTGGAGTATTCCATCATGCGGAGTCGACCGCATCCATCGTGTTCGACTTTAGTCGACTGGAGTAGAAAAAATGTAGCCGGACCGAGTGTGCCGGGCCCTCGTCGTATCGAGAGGGTCATGGGGGAACAACGATACCTGCAACCTCGAGAGCAGAAGTCTTTTCCTATTTGTAAACCGTAGCACTGCCTCTCGGTCCGAGGAGCGCAGAGATGCAAATCCTGAGCTGCATCTTCGAAGCTGCATCTCCAGCTCGAGAACTGCTCCACGATCGTCGTAGGGTCATTCCTACGGGAAGACTGGAACACGGTGTTGAGGGTATCCTCTCGCGACCGTCTATTCTTCGGCTTCTCTTTTCCGGACTCGCAGTCGATGGACGCCTGGCTTCCTCCGTCAGTCACCTTCTTTCGGCTTGCTCTCGCCGAGTCGTGGATTCGGGGATTCCATCCTCGTCGCGGCCGAAACCGAGCCGCCCGATATACCGTGCACGGCTAGGAGCCGGATCACGAGCGTGTCGTCGAGAGACGTTCGACCGACGAAGGCGAGATCGACGTCTCTCTCTCTCTCTCTCTCTCTCTCTCTCCCCAAGTGCTTCGGACAGGGATCGAGAAATCACGATCGATGAATCGTGAACCCCGTCGATCGCGACGCGTCGGGGACGTCGTCATCCGTGCCGATCGCGGTCGTCCCGCTTTCCTCCGGTTCTGTCTCTCCTCGACTCACCCTCGACTCACCCTCGACTCACCCTCGACTCACCCTCGACTCACCCAGGGCTCACCCTCCTCACCGATTCTCATCGGTGCGATAACGAAGGAGACTCACCCGGAGGCCCCAGTCACCATCGACGGCATTCCTTCCTCTCCGATTCCTCTTTCGTCGAAGTCTCTTCTTCACGAGGATCCAATTATCCCGAGGCAGATGATCCAGAGGAGAATCGTACGGATTACCGGATCCCACCGGGCTCGTCCCGATCAGAAAATCAAAACGAAAAGCCTTCTCTTCGCCTGGAAACGGAATGCCACGATGGGGCTCGCGAAGTATCGCATCGTCCCGATGGAACGTTAGCGGAAGAGAGATTTATTCAATGGTAGGGATGGAAAAGGGATGAGAAAGGGATGAGAAAGAGATAGGGTGCAGACCCGATTCCTTCCTCGTCCCTTTAGCACCGGTCCTCGTTTTAGCTCTCGTCCGTCTCGTTGCTCTCGGCTCGGTCGAAAGGAATTCCTGAAGACTGTGTTGAATTCTCTTTAGTTCCAAGGGTCTCCCGACCGTTCGCGGAAGGATAGGAAGGGTACGCAATATTTCACTCTCGATCCGATGGGCTCCATCGAGGGGAAGCTTTTCTCGAATTCGTGGTGAAGCCGTTTCGGTATAGGCTCCGAGTGGGAGTGACCTTTATGACCTTGACTAGTCTCTGCCTTCTCCACCTCCGCTTCTTAACTCCTCGAACGCACCAGAAAATGAATCCGAGCGCACCCCCGATACACCGACTTTTCTGACAATATTCATGATTTATTTTACAGTGTTATTTGACCCGTACTGAAGACTCGTTCAAAATGACTCGACTCGTATTCGAGGTCAAAATCGCTCTCACACAATAAATTACCGACCAAACTATTAATATCTTGAACACCGCGTTTTCCCTTCCTGAACGACGCCACGACTGCTTGCGGGGAGAGTGCACACCAGACAGGATACTTTTTCTGCAGAAAAAAAGCGAGCTTTAACTGGAAGGCTGTCCCGGTACGATATATGCCAAATATGAGAGAAACGACCAGCCATCATGCAGATGTCACAGCGAGAGTGGTCGCAGCGGCAAATTTCGAAATTCCGTATGCGTCACGCGTTTTCAAGGAACGAGGCTGCAGCTGAAAGGCATTTCCGAGCCCTCGTTTCCGATTTCATTCTCGAAAGTGGGACTCGATTGCTTGGAATCGGATCCGATATTCGCTCCAGGAGAAATCCGAGGTCCTTCACTCCTCGCGTGACCCTCGTGACCCTCGTGACCCTCACGACGGAGCTCACGAACGAGGAGCCTTTTCGTTCGGTTCGTTCCGTGCATTTCGTCTCGGTTTCTCGGAATCGCGATCGCGACGACGATCCACGCTCGCGTTTCCCGACCCGATCGAACGATTTCAATCCTTTCTGCCTTCGATCGAATCGCTTAGCGAGCGAGCCCGATTCTAGATCTAGTTTCGTGAACGCGCCTCAGAAGTGGAAAAAAAAAGTCGCTCGGTGGACCGTTCCCCGCCGCGCCAGAGAGGAACCGAGTCCGGATGAACCGATTCCCGGATGAATCGATTCCCGGATGAACCGATTCCCGGATGAAGCGATTCCCGGATGAACCGAGTCCGGATCCAAGAGTCCAGGGAAACGCTAGCTCAACGATAAAAAGTTTTCTCAGCGCTTTTCCTTCATTTCCCGAGAGGCCACCATCACGAAGTGGGCACGATCGAGCACGATTCACCGACGGATCACCGTAAGCTCGGAGAATGATCATAGATAGGCCGTATTCCAGCCATAAAAGCGAGATACGATTCCCCAAGACCTGGAAATGCCGATTCCGAAGAGAAGGAAATGGAGAAAAGTATGAGATTTCAACCGACGCGCGACGAAGGGTTTCAACATCATCAACCGGAAACGAGACAGAACGTCTTCCACGTTTGCCACCGAGTCGTAGAGACGGAATTCACTCGGGTCTCCACTTTTTTCCCCCGTAAAAGTGGTGGAATAACGCATTCCCTGCTATCGACGAAGAAATGCGGGTAGCACATTTTCCCCAGGATTTTCAGCAGTTGTCTGGATCGTTTGGAGCATTCAACTTTTCAAATTTTTTTTTAAAATAAAATTTGTTTGAAGCTGAAGTTTGCACACGAAGCTAATATAAGTTAAAAGGACACGATTAGATTTTCATGACTTTTCGGAAGCTAAAAAAAATTCGCGTTTGTTTTTCACTTTCTTGCTTGTTGTTCCGCGAAAAGGTACCGCCCCCGCAAGCAGTCGTGGCGTCGTTCAGGAAGGGAAAACGCGGTGTTCAAGATATTAATAGTTTGGTCTAAATACTCGACCCCAAATCCACTCCTTTAGAGATTGAGTCTCTTTAGGCGAGAAGCTGACCGCGAACGAAAGCCACGATGACCCGATCGGCAGACCTCATTTAGTGGGGATAAAAGGGCCTTTTAAGCTTAACAACTCCTTTGCCCCCGCTGGAGTCCATGTTTTCTTAAAGGACCGTCGACTAAAGGAGTCTTCGGCATTCGGTCCGAAACCGTAATGAAGTTATTCTACGATGCGTTCTCTGAGTTTTTCTGTCTTCTTCTCGTCGATCGTCTCTTTTTACTCGGAAAGCATGCCATCTTAAAATAAGGAAAATGATCAAAAACAAGGAGAAAGCGTCCCTTTTCGTTTGCATCTCGTTCGATTTCGGAGGAGAAACTCATTCGGACTCGCAAGAATACGGAGAGAGATTGCGGAAGAAATTTGTAAGTTGCGGCCTCGCAGTTGCACGATGCGATCGATGCTACTGCTTGCGAATCGTGGTACTTAAGGTACTGTAATGCGACTTAAGGTACTGTAATGCGACTTAAGGTACTGTAATGCGACTTAAGGTATACTTCCACTGGTCCCTTCTCGCGCGTCCGTTACTCGTAATTTTGAACTCACTCGATGAATATAAATAGTCTGGAGGCATCGACGACTGTACACGAGATGTCCACGGTCCGTTTTCTCGGAACTTGTGGCCGTAAAGGTAAATATCTGGATTTCATTGCGACTCGGGATCGGTCCGTTCCGCATCTTCGTGAGCGATCCTCGCGCCCGAAATTCAGCGACATCGAGCATTTTCCCAGAAGGGAAAGCACGATATACGAGTATTCGGTGGGAAGATTCGGATCGCCCTCATCCGGAAGTGTCGGTAGAGCGTCAGAAGGATCCGCTTGGACTTGTACCGAATCTCCTCGAAGAACTGCCTCGAGATTCGAGAGACACCCAGGAGGAGTTGCAGGATCCGTCAATCTTTCCCCCCCCCCCCCCCCCCCCCCCCCCCCCCCCCCCCCCCCNCCCCAGGGGGGGTTGCCGGATCCGTCAATCTTTCCCCCCCCCCCCCCCTCCCTCCCCTCCACACGACCAGGATGATATAGTGGAATTCCTGGTGGAAAAGAAATTCCACGGCCCGGAAGAGGAAAAGACCCTGGTAAAGGCCCCTGGCAAAGGAACGAGAGATCTCGGTGTCGGTGTCGGGACCTCCGAGTCCGTCACGACCGCGATCGGACTCGTGAGCTCGGAAGCGGCAATGCAGGAACCGAGGCCGGGTCGACCCATCGACCGGGACCGAGACGTCGAAACGTGCAGGAATGCGAGACGTCGACGCGGGCAGGAATGCGAGACGTCGAAACCGGCAGGAATGCGAGACGACGAAACGAGCAGGAATGCCTGGTGACATCCCGACTCGTACGTCGAAAGCGAGTGGCTGCGATCCACCTCGAAGCGAGGGATCGGTATCGAAACGGCGAAACTCTTAAAGAACCCACGAGATGCAGAATGCCGGCGCGGTCGAAAGCGTTCGAAGGCCGAAAGAACGGAACGCAGAACCGCTCGAGAGTAGAACGAACGGAACAGCGACACCGAACGCGCGTGAGGATCGACTCGCCCATCGCGAGGGGTGCGCGAATACGTGCATCTCATCTGCACGCAATCGCAATCGGGCGGCGTGCGATGGGGGTACGTCGTCCGAAGGAAAGAAACCGGGGAGACCCGGTCCGGTGTGGGCCGTCGATCAAAAATCTAAAAGCGTCTCGAAGACGCGAAGATCGTGGAGACGGAGAGCGTTACAGAACGTTAGCGACGGAGAGAGTCACGACGGTGGCACCGTGAGATGTTCCCAAAAGCGAGTCCGACCGGTCACGCCAGCGGCGTCGCCGAGTGCAACCTCGATCCGCGTTCCTCGACCATCGGTTTCTTTCCTCGTCGGTCGCCTATCGAAACCGAACGAGAAATAAACGGCGGCTTCGGCGAACGGCACGACACCCCGAACCGTGCTGCGAATGCGAATTCGGGTCCAGATCCAAAAGGGTTCGCGTCTCTGAGTGCGTTTTCGAATTCGCGAGGGAAATTCCGACGTGGCACGAATTTTGCTCGAAACGATCTCGTTCGGTATCTCGCCGACGCCTATCTTAATGCATGCCGTTCTGCACGATCGCGAGATCGATGTTTCGCGAGCTACCGTCGGAAAGCGAAAGATCGAGACCGAAATGCAGAGAGAAACGCACGGACGCGAAAAAAAATCGTCCCCCTTTCTTTTCGACGCGGACCGACTCGAAGAGACGCAGCAGGTTGGAGCGAGATCACCGCCGATCTACGAAGGCAAACGACCAAATGTACGAAGTCCTCGTACTCCTAACGTTCCTTTTTGTTTTCTCGCTTCCGATTAACGAGTGTAACCCAGGGCGATGAGAAATGGCAGACACGGGTAATCGCACCATCGAAGAATCGATGGTAGTCGGCACGTCGACTCCCGAAAGACCCCACACCGGTAAGACGCAATGATGAAAATCCGAAACGACTTTCGAGCCAGGTTCCACAAGGATGCACCGCCTAAAATCACCCTATTCAGATGGAAACGGGAGATTTTCGCTACGGGAAGTGTCTTCGACGAACCACGGACCGGACGACCGTCGACGAGACGGCGACGGTGTTCAGTCTTCGCTGCATCCGTTCGGAGGTCGCCCGAAAGTCGCTCCTCGAGTGTCTTCGCAACTCGGAATGCCCGAAGCGACGATGCGGAATCGCGCGAAAGTCGATCCGAACTCGAAAGCGTATCGACCGACGTTCGCGGACGAGCCGAGCGACCGCGACGTGCGGAACGGAGATGGAGCTTCGGCACGCTTCCTTCGGTCGTGCGGGACGCTTCCCCGACGCGGTCGAGTCGTATTTTCCGACGAATGTGCGATTTATCGAAGCTCACGTGCGAGGAACGTTCGTTCCTGGAGTAAAGAAAACCCTCACTATCGCGAAGAATCGGAAGATTGACGATTCGGGCGGGAACGTCCGGCACGTCACTTGCGAGTTTCGTGACTCGGACGAGTCGATCCCGAAATGCGGCCGATCGTAAAAACGACACGACGTTCCGCGTTCCGTTCCTTTCGGGAAAAACGTTCGGCCTTCCATGCCTTCGGTCGAGATTGTATTCTACGTTCGGGTTCCTTTTAGCACGGTACGTTACATCGATAACAGCCCGACGTTTTTCCGATAATGCAACATCGATTCGACGTCGGGTCGATATCGATCCAATATACCAAGGGTGGCCGGAGTGGATGTTTTCTAAGGCACTTTGTTTGCTTGCGTGCGGCTCGCGAGCCGAACTTTGGCCACCCCTGCAATGTACTGTGTTACTTTGTCGGCACCGATAACGACGACTACAAAAAATATGCACTTCGTCGGGATGATCGTCGTGAAACACGCCCGTACTCGTCGCTGCACCTTTCAGAGACGAATGCCGAGACGAACTAAGTCAGTTTATGTGCTTCGTCTCGGAAGAAACGGAAGCGGCTCTTCGTCGAGCACTCGCGACGCATGGATGCTCGTCGGAATCGCACTCGTCAGACGCCGGAATGCACTCGTGACTCCAGAGCATTTTAGCTGCTGGCTCATGCTGTTCGGGGTTCTCATCTTTCGTGCTCTGTAAGTAAGGAACGAGATAGCAGAGAGAAAGCGGGCAGAGCAGGGATTAGCCGTATTGGCTTTATCCAATGGGGTATTTTCAGAGGGGGCGGGAGGGCAAACCCCCCCCCCCCCCCCAACCGGCAGCCCTTCAAAGTGTTCAGCGTCCCCTCAAAGGATTATTTTCGCCCCAGAGAACCTTTTCTGAGCAGCCCCCTCCCTTTCCCCCGGCTCATGAGCCAAAATGTGCCACGTGGCAACCTCACACTAACCTTGTGTATAAAAAAAAAAGGGGGGAACGCTTGAAAGGCAGCGTGACATTCTGTTGGAATGTGAAGCGATGTCTACCAATCCCGCCTCGAGTTTTGGATCCGACTGGACTGGTACACCATTTCTGCGTCCCTCCCGCATCCCAGCGATTCCATACGTCACGTGGTGGAATTACAGATGCTGCACAGGTCCTTGGAATCTCTTTTTTGACGTACGATATATTCGTTTCCCTCGGGTCCTCGGGACGCATTCGAAGGATCCCCCCGAGACGCGGTCCATCGCTCGACGGCACCCTCAAATTCGAGTCCGGTCGCCATCGTCTCGAATCCCGGTCGAACGTACATATCGATATTTCCACCGATCCCCGATCCGACCGTCCTCGTGCGATCGTGCCTCACGCTCGTCGCGACTGCCGCAACACCACGGTTTCGTCGAGCCGGGCCGGATCGTACCGCGATGAGAAAGCGTGCTGCGATTAAGGAGAGCCGATGTTTATTCGTGTGAACTAACGAGGGACTACAGCTAGGAATTCTCTGAAAGCCGAGGAGTCGCAAGCACTCCCTTTATTCTCTAGAGATGAAGGCTCGGTTCGAGATTGGAGGGAAGAAATGAATGCGCGCATGCGCAGGAAAGTCCGCATGCCGCGAGGAAGGAGACGCGAGATGCAGTCTCTTCTCATTCGACCGAAGGAAAGAGAGAGAGAGAGAGGATGAGTCCTCTCGTCACGTGTCAGAACACGTGAGAGATGCCTCAAGGCCAAGGGTCCAGGTCCTCCCAAGGCAGGGGTCTCTGGCGACCCCTTGCAGCCTTGGCCTTCCCCGGCATCTATCTCATGACCAAGGTGTCTCAATTGAAACGACGCCATGCCGAAGACACGAGAAGAAGGGTCACGGAAAGGGATCTCGCAAATCTCAATCACAAAATCGTGAGTTCCCTCTCGACTCAGCCCAACGACGCAGTCAAGTGTGATTACGGTTTTCCGCTGCAATTTTTGCCTGTATTGCGGTCTGTCAAGGGCGTACGGATGATGAATTGCCATTTCCAAAACCATGAAAATTTTCAATTCCGAATCTAATTAAAGTTCCACTCGCAGAGAAAAATGGTTGCAATGCTCATTATGGCGAAATGAAGTGCGTCGTTGTTTCAGTTATGCGCGCCATTTTTTCCTCCGTCACTCGTAACTTTCTTATCTTTTTTTTTTTTTTTACTATCGCATGTCGCCTAGCGCGTGCAGCTCCGCTTCGATCGATGTACTTTCGGTACGCATGTTTCCCCGTTGCAGAAAGTGAAAATCCCACCGACGCTTTCGCCTTCCACGTGCTTCAACTTTTGGGAATGGGATGGGAAAGGGAGATGGTTCTCTTTCATTGCGAGACGGGAAATCGATGGAATCGAAATCGACAAAGTTGAAGCCTAGATCCAATCTCGACGCGAGGGATGAAACTTCCTCCAGCCTTTCAATGACGGATATCGACTCTCGCCGTCCTTAACTCGCCTTTTAGAACTCGAAGTCGCGCTCACCGTGTCTCCCAGATGTCCAGTAAATTAAATTATTGCGGATCATGACGCTTGGTGACACCGAAAAAGGACGTAAGAGTACGACCTCAGAACACGTCGGGTTCGTGTGAGAGTCGAATTAGTGAAACTAGTCATGTTCTCTGGGCCCAGTTTCCGACGTCAGGAATTCTCAAAATCAGATTAGAAAGCTATGTAATTCGTTCCCATATGTCTACTCCGAGGCAATGGCGGCTCGTAATCTAAAGCAGCAGTTCCCGCTACTGCTACAAGGTATTTGCATAAGCTTCCAAACTACTCATTATTATTGCTTTAGTGCACCATGGGAGTCAGATGAACCCGGTTCGTGCTTCCATCTAAGGTTCTTCTTCTAAGAATCTAAGGTTCATGATGAAAGCTCATCTCGTGTGGCACTGTCATGTTGGCATTACCGCCTCGTGAAATATGGGTCTAATATCGGTGCCAATATTGGTCCATAACCGGATCGAAATGAATCCAATATTGCAGAAAATGTTGCGTAAACGTTGAAGCGAGTCTTGCATCGATGTCGATGCCGATTATCTAACTCTCTTTGCTGCGATGAAGTGCATCCAAACGTCTTCGGAATAAAATGTGACGAATTGCATCAGGAGCAATAAACTCCTCAATACCATTAAAGCGTTAGAGTACATGCATAAATACTCGTCTAGAACAACTGACAAAGAACACGAGAGTGGATGATGACAGCTGTCTCGTCCAGGAGAAGACAATTATTCATCACATCGCCTCTTCCTCTCTCCTGGCACTCGAGAGCATTTCTGTCCTTTCTCTCCCCTCTCGATCCATCGCTCGGGCTTGGAAGGTCCCAACCGTGTATCATTCTACGACGTGGAGAGATCATTTTCTGTGACTCTTTGTGCGTCATTTCGTGCAAATATCAGAGATATCAATCACACGACGAACAGGATACGTTCTTTTGATTATCTCTTTCGGGTCGATCGAATCCGTAATTCGTCGGTGAGGAGACCCCATGCACTAATTCCATGCATCGATGGAGGTAGATTGCATGCAACTTTCGTGCTCTTTAAATTATCAATCCGCGCGCAAAAAGAAGAAGAATGTCGCGTTCTTTACACGTGTCATGCACGAGGTTGCAAGATATTTATTCTTCATCGGTCGCGAATGACACCCGTTCCGTTGAAAATCGCCCACAATACCCGAAAAACGTGACCTGCATGTCCTTGCGAGTCCCATCAGGCAATCCCGACCCTCGAACGCCCCAATATCAAGTGTGCCGATATTGGACTATTGCTTTTTTTTCATGATGGGTTGAACATCGGACCTATGATGAACTCGTTATATTGGAAATGAATTGCTTCGCCAATGATTAGTCATGTTGGTGAATCTTGCCAGTATTAGCCGATGTGTAGCCAATTTACTAATTTTGGTTCCATATTGAGCCACCATCTGGTGATACCTGGGATTGAGCTGATGGTTGCGAAATCCTACCTTAATTTTCTCATATTCTTCCTCGAATGGATTCTTTCCCCCAATTTTTTTTTTTTTTTACCAATGATTCTATCTTTTGACGAACTTTTGAGAAGAGCTGCGTCACAATTGAGCTCTTTCTTTTAGACGAGAGTTATTCATGGCAGTGTCACCTCACGGTCGGCAATCCGTAAGCGACGAATCGAGGAGTTACGGTTTGAGATCGTGAGCGGCTGCAAATTCATTAGCAACAGAAGAAGTTAGAAGCGCGCCAGTTCCTCGACGGTTCTTAGATCGGCCTCATTGCGGGAAAGGTGATAAATTCCGCAGAGAATGCTGATGGCACCCTCGATCCATGCCAATGTGAGAATCACTCGCCGGTGAAGACGAAAAGACGAGAGAGGGGAGAAATGGCCAGCATCACCAGCAAGCAGGGCTTTTGTCTCGTCTGCCTCCTAGGCATCACGATGCGATGAAAACGGACGAGCGACCAGTTAGGGTCGAAGGAGGAAATTCAAACCTCTGCCAAGGGTGTATTCGTAGTTGTTTTTCGTAATGCGGGTGCAAGAGAAGGAATGGGGTGATGATGCGAGTACAAGGGATGGGAAAAGGATGCAAATGCGGGACTTGGGTATGGCATTCGCGTTTTAATTCCGCCTTGAGTTCTTTGTCACGTCCGATATGAATATTCAAGCGGAAACTCCCTTGGAAGAAAGCTCCGAAGGTCTGGAGGGAGCCCATTCCAGCGCTATCTTGAATATGGGAAGAAAATTGGTGTACATTTATTTTAGCCTTTTTTTTTTAAAAAGAAAAAGAAAACTCAACATTTTCTCATGGCACGAATAGCTCTCAAATTGGCTATGCTTTCGCAAAGCTAATAAGTCGAGGTTGAAACGGTTATTGAAGGGTATTGCATGCTTCGAGGTAACGACGGAGTATATCATCTCCGGACCCCCCAGCATTTGACTTCGGGACACATCCACATGTTGTTCAGACAATTCTTTCTACTTGCGGGATAATTCGGATAACATAACATGCTATTCGGAGTAGGATAAATAAGATCCCCGGCCTTATAAAAAAAAAAAATTGTGCTCCTACTTCCGTTTTTTTCCACGGAACTTGCACCGCGCATAGACTGACATTTTAACGAGACTTAATACATGTAAATAAAATTCAGCATGCAGAAACAAGGCCATGAGCAATTATTCAAAATGGGTTGGATGTCGAAAGTGGACTGAGTTGAAAGTCTCATATCAGCCTACACCCAGTACAGTTTCATAAGAATGGCTGTATTATGAAGGGTAAAAGAGGGAGTCTTTCTGCATACCATTCAGAACATAGTGTTATGCCGTCACGTTGAAACCGAGCAGCAAGGCTTTCGAAAGAATATGTGAAGTTAAGAATTGAAAATAGAGACCTGGAGTATCGTGGTGCACCTGAACGATAGAAGTTCGTCGTTGCAAAGTAATCTTTTTTGGAGACAAATGAGAACCAATCACGTCAAATGCTCATCTAAATTGAGAGTGCCGTACTTCGAAAGCCAGGCCCGGAAGAAAATAGCGTGCTATGTTATACCACTGGCATCACTCTCTTACTCAAACTTACGATGCTCTGAAGGCGGTAGACTACGGCTTGCAAAGATATGCATTCCCCCGCTGGTGAATGTATTAATACTAGGCCCGAGACTTGTTCATCCTCGAGTCGTACGGAGAGTATGGAACTTGGATGACAGTCTTCAAGGAGAAAGGTTGAAGATTTTTTACGTGAAAGTGAGTGGAACATCTCAAGATGGAGTCCATTTTCTTATTTGTGGGTAGAGTTCCTCGTCTCACCGGGCAAGGTCCCGAAAGGTACTCGGAAGGTCGCCGAAGGGAAGAGAGGGAGGCGAAGATGAAAGGATCAAGAGAAGTGGGAAAGGGTCCATGCGAGGAAAAGAAAAGAATCCCGACAGTCACGATTTGAGTTTATCTTCTAATCCCATCCCTCGGCTTGTGGGCTTTATCTTCCAGATCGCTAACAAGGAATTCACGGCTTAGCGTTAGTCCCAAGGTCTTTGGAGGAAGCTTCTGGTTTCGTGACTCCACGTGCTTCGGCTGCCGATTGTTTCCACGAAAGGGGCTTGATTGCCGGGATCGTAAAGTCTTGTGTTCTAGGAGAGCGGATCTCCTTTGATGTACCTCTGGAAGGACATTGAAGGTGAAGGAGACGGAAGGAAAGAGGAAACCGCCAAGGAATCGTGAATAAGGAGGGCGAACGGAAATGAGAAGGGGAAGCGAACTTGCGCCCGATGAGCCGTCTTCACCCATCCCGCTGGATTCGAGTGATGAGATGAACTGTCCACATCACAGGCTGCGCATATGGACCGACGGTCCGATTCCTTCCATCGATGAGAAGGAATCGGACCGGAAACGATGAGAGTCGTTTCTCCTCGAGATGACGGTTCCATGCCCGTCTCGGTGACTCCACCGTGATTCGGTTTCGTCGTTGGCAATGCGTTCGCGGAATCTCCGTCGTTATGACACGCGGTTTCTCAACGACGAAATGCCACGAACGAGAGGCAACACGAGTCCGCACACCAACAAAGGAAGCGCTGTATTGCATATTGCATGTATCCCATTTCAAGCCTGATTTATTGATATGGCGTTCCTTGCTTTTATTCTAATCGAGATTGATGCCTGTATAGCCGACCGAGAACGAATCAATGAGTGACGGTGTGCAAACTATTGCATTCGTTCGCGAGAACCAACCCATGAACGTACAGAAATATACCTGTAAAAATCGAACCGACGGAATTCTGAAGGGGTAACTCGTGCGAGCTGGTGACTTGCATTCGAAAGAGGGAAAGGGAAAGAGGGGGGATGAGGGGGAAAGAAGGAGGCTGCAGGATCTCTATAATGGAAGTCTCCTTTCTCGCCACCGCAATGAATCTGTTCAGTGATCGATCCCGACTCGAGGATTTCGCTCGCCAGGTGGGTCAAATACGCCGGAAACACGACGAACCTCATGGTTTCATTTTGGCTTCTGGAATCGGTGGGCATCCGTCGCCGTAGTGCGTGATCGCTGCGGTGCACGAGGCGCGCCGTCTCGTCTTCGATTCTTCCATTCTCTTACGAAGGAAGCGGGAAATCACTTCCGGTGGGAAACGGTTACGTATAGTCTTTGATTACACATCCAGGTGACAGAGATAGACCGTAACGATCATGAGAACTGAATAATGAAAGAGATGTGGGATCCGGTAGCGGCACCATCGAGGCTCATCATTTATTAAAGGGAACACGGCCAAGATTAGAGGGTTCCCGGCTCCCTCCTCGCTTTCCGCGGATTTACGAGAGACAGTCATGATAGGTTTTCCAGTCCCTGCCGTTCCGATCGTCTCGTGCAACCGTTTTCATTATTCAAGGAGCCTTCCGAAACGTCTCTCGAGAATCGACTTCGCCGTCGCGTGAGATACGTTCTGGGACAGTGAGATAAACTCCTGAACGCGTCCTTCGAGGCATGCTCTGATCAGGGAGAAACAACGCTTTCTCGGAGACTTTTTCTGCGGGGGTTTGGACCTTTCTTGGACCTTTCTCGGATCCCTCTTGGGCCTTTCTTCTCTTTCCTCCTCGGACGTTGGCATCTCGCGACACCTTCTCGTATCTGACTAAAAATCTTCCCTGTCTTTTTCGAATGCAATTTCGGGAGGACCGAGCTCAATCGTCTTTCTCGTTTTCCTCGTATCAGAAAAAAACTCCCCCAGTGTGTCCTCGGCAGACTCAGAACCTTGCAAAATTCAGGGTATCGTTAAACTTGCAACGGAGACCCGAACATAAACATGTTTTGTTCTATTCGGAACAGGAGAAACTGCTGTCGAAGCTGGAGGAGCACGAGCCCGAAATGGCACTCACCCCGGAGGAAGAAGTGAGTTTCCTTCGAGGACCTCTTTCACCTCATTTATGCATGCAATCTTGAGAGAGAGAGAATGCGAAAGCGAGGGAGAAATGGGAATCGCAATCGGGGCTCGTCGAGACTCTCGGTGGGTCTATTCACGACCTGCATGGATCCTTTATGGCAGGATGGAACCCCATGAAAGAAAATGACATTTCCCGACCTCCGCTCGGGAGTCGAGAGCCAAAATCCGATACAAATCGATCGGAATCCGTGACGAAAGCCCGACAGATTTGCAAGCCGAGGTTCGTCTCCTCGTAGGAGAGGGGGGGGGGGGGCGTGACGTCATTCTACTCTGGTTTCTCTTCCCCTTTGCTTTTCATATGTTAAAACCCCTCGCGAAACGAGGGAAATCAGGTAATGGAACATATATGGGAGAGGCTCATTTGGAATTGTCTCTTAGCCCTCACGCGAGGTCATCAGAGTAATAGGTCATAATAGGGATATCGAACCAACACGTCCTCCATGTTACTTTCTGTCGCATCTTCCTCTCTCTTTGCTCCTCTCTCCCCCAAAGGAATCGATAGATAGACGGGAGGAAGGAAGAAGGTCTTATAAAGAGAGGAGAGTGTTTTTGGAAGGGGGCCAAAGCGGCCGTGGACGGATCGAACGAGCAGCCCTTCCCTATAGGGCTAAGCCTATATCCCCTCTCTCCTCCCGAAAAGGGAGGGAATGCAACAAAAAATGAGACCGAGTGTGTTTCGTTCTCTCTTACTGGTGAATGTAATCGAAAGCCTCTCCCACGAAGCAGTGGTCGTTAGTCGGAATTAATTTTTCTGCACGGCTGCTCTTCCGTCGTGCGACTCGAGATCGTTAGACCGACCTCATCGTGCCGTGATTTGGTCTCTCATCGTGCCGTGATTCGATTCCCTCGTCGGGATCGGCGGGACCGCCATTCGCGATCGGGAAGTTCACTCGCTCCCTCGCTCCGCCCCTTCCCGCCCACGCGAACGACACGTGTCCCAAATTGCACGCCCTCGTCCCGTTGGCCTCCCCCGTGCGATCTATGTATTTCACGCGATGCAGCTGTAAAGGTAACGCGATGATCGATACCGGGTTCCCGTCGAGGACACGAGGACGACGAAAGAGGACGAAGGGGAAGGAAAGAAACCGGTGTGCACGCGACGGCATTCAATCACCGGCACGAGATCTCCGTCCTGACAGTTCCCACGGACGGAAATGAAAGAAAAAGGGAGTCCAGGGCGACCGATCCCGCCGATCGAATCGCGCGGATCGTGCTCTGCGATATTCCGGATTCCGGAGCAGGATGCGACTTCGCGATCCTCTCGCTTTCATCGCCGAGAGCAGTTCGTCTTCGGATGAGCCGGATCTCCCATGAGCGTCACCCTCGCCTCGTCTAAATGTCTGGCCCGTCTCATAAATCTCGAGCACTGATTTTTCCTTTTCTCCGGATTTCTTTTTCATTTTCGAGCGCAGAGTCATGAATTTGGCGTCTCGTCGTCGGAGTCCCTCCGCTCGTGCGACGACGGATACCCATGTCTATCTTCCGTTGCATCGTCTCGCTTTCTCGAGAGATCGTTATGAAATTCGTAGTTCGTCTTTGGGAATATCGAGCTGACCGACGCAGAACGTGACGAGAAAATTGAGGTTGCATGCAAACTGCTCATGACCGACGCCCCCAAATCCCACGACATGGAGCATTACAATGATATATCCACAGAATTCACCCTTTCCCCTCCCCCAACCTTTCCCTCCCCTCCCCTCTGCCTTCCCCCCTCTGAATATGCGAAAATATCCCTGGGTGGTTCAAAAAGTTGTCAACTTTACAAATCTACAGATGGAATACCATACGATATATCGGTAGAGAATTTACACGACGTTGCATCCAACACATGCAGGTGTTTTCATCAAAATTCGATCGAATCGTTCGTTTTCTGCAGAACCCGGGTGAGAACTTTTTTTCCCCTCTCGACGCGAAACGAGCGAATGTCGACGAAGTTCACCTTGCTGGTTCCTCCGCACTCGACCGGACTCGCCCAGTCCAGATTCTTTCTGGGGCAGACACAGATACGTTCTCCGTTCCTCATCGCAATGAGAAACGGCTCTCACTCTGGCTCTAGGGGACCGATTTCGTTGAAATGAATACGAAACCACCTGCAGGTGTTGGATGTGACGTCTTGTAAATTGTCCGCAGATATCTCGAATGGGAATCCGTCTGCATCGTGAAAAGTTGGAATTTAATCGGGCCACCGGGAGGTATTTACGTATGGGCACCTTCATCTTTTCTCGGGTGTTTCAATGAGAATGCCGTTTTTCAGCTTTGTTTTGGGAAAACTCCTTTAAGCATTTCACATTTCTTGACGAAAGTGTTCCATAGAACGATTCTGTAGAAATTCTATGGAGGCATCCTTTGCCATTTCTGAACCTTTTGTAGAAAAATTTTTGTGTTAATATGTAATTCTCTACAAAGGGAATCTACAATCAATCAAAAAGGCACATCTACAAATGGAAAGGGAATCCTCTACAATGGAAAGAACTCTATAAAGTCTCCTTAGTTTATGGAGTTCTTTCATCATATAGAGTCTGTACAGGAGGTTCTCTAGAATTCGAAAAAATTATAGTTATTTCTTAAAACCTATTCTCTAGATCGCCGAGACAGCTTTGGTGGGGTAATAAGAGCATAAAGCTTTCCGGTATTAGATTTAATCTATTTCGGAAGGTGCCACGTGGTTATTCATGTTCGGAATCGAAAATGCCATCGTGGTCTCTTCCTGATCGTGAAGCTGTACTTGATTGGAGGATACAGTCCCCCCACCGAAACGAAAGACGAAACGCTCAAGTGGCCGCACCTCGAATCTATTGATAACTCAGACCTTTGTCTGTGTTTTCTCCTCACTTACAGTAGTTTCAGCGGTTTTCGATAACATGTTTAGTCTCGTCGATAGAGATGGCTCAGTGAGGCACCTGCTAGAAATGCAGTTAATGTGGTTGTGCCCATGATGGGATTCGTGCAGAAAGGAAACTAGCTCGCAAGAGCGGAGATGAGCTGGGGAATCCCATGGCGGCAACAAAGAAACTGCGACGTAGCGAGAGCGAACATAAGGAAGATGCACTCGCTGAATCAACTACTGAAATACAAGCAGATGAATGTGGTGAGATGAAAACAACGGTGATGATAGTTATTCTTCTTCGAAGAAAGAAGGAAAAAATGAGAAGAATCAACCATTATTGAGAAGGTTACTGGACTTCCACGATCTTGGATTCCTTAAGGACTATGCCGAGAAAAAGCTGCCATTGCTTGGATTTTGATTGAATCCGCAATGAGAGAGTTGTTTTTATTTCGTTTTTGTTTTTATTTTATTTTACAAGGTGCGACCACCCCCTCTTTCGTAAAGTTCCGTACTTTTGCATCCCGATGTCTCATAATGAGTGACTCATTATCCAAAACAAATCGTGTATTTAGCCTGAAGACACAAAGCCCTTTCTTGGAGTGCAATTTTTTAGGCTCTACCTATAATGCCGGGAAGGGTTGCTGATGGGGGTAACCCCCCCCCGAAATGCTCTATTTTGATCTCTTTGACTAAGCGAATGGGTCTTAATAGAAAACTTGTAGGAAGTCCAAAGAACGCTCTCCGTATAGGCATTCTATGGAGCACTTTCACCAGGGTTCTTCATTTTTCCACCAAGACCACAGCGATATGAAGCAGCGGTTCTGAGCCTGTGTGCCGCGTCACCCAGAGGCACCCAGGAGCACCCAGAGACACCCAGAGGCACCCAGGGGCACCCGGGGGTGCCGCGAGGGGTTGACAAAGATGTTGTGAGAGGTTGCTGCCTTTTTTCTGCCTGTCGCCAAATGAGACAAAATGGCCAGGAAGCTGCAATGTTTCTGTAGTGGTGTAACCAAGGATCACTTTATGAGGAGTGTGCGGCAAGCCTCTTCTGTAGGACCACTTTCAATAATCGATCTTCTAATTTCAGCCTACGCTCGTTATGGAATTGTGCACTGCGCCCACAATATAAGTCGATTTAAAAAAATAAGTGCTCACATTATGTTTTCCTGGAATAAAATTTCATAAATAGAATTCTATTAAGGAAGAATATCTAGATAATCATAGCTGCTACAAGGAAGTTCTGATTGCATCCGCGAAGTATACCTGCCTCCTCTCATTCTGAAAATAAAATTCTAGGTCCTTTTGGGCTTTATAGCCCAAGTAGGTAATTATTGAGATGTGGCTTGATATTCTGTGCAGAGGCAGGCACAAGTATCCCATTGGAGTGAATTGAACAAAAATTGAAGAACTTGAATTAATCTTGAAATGATTACTTCGGGAAGGAGCAGTTTAGTGTACATCTAAGTGCGAATTCAGTTCCTGGTTTCCTATTTAATCGCGTATGTGGATGTAGAAGGGTGCTGCCGATACTAGTCGCCCGAAATGTGTGCCTTTTCTTAGCAAGTGTTGAGAACCGCTGCTTAATAGGATCATGCAAAGAATTCTCGCAGGTCGTGATTGAAGTCGAATCTGCTATTCGACAGCTAACCATATCGAATTCAAGGAAAAGAAATTCACTGGAGTCCTGTCGTTGCAGTGCGTGATTTGCGTGAACGCGAGGGCGACCATGGAGACGTTACCATGCGGTCACCGGGTGGTTTGTCGTCGATGTTTCGTGAAGACGATTCAAGTGGCAGTGTCTCAACGCCTTTTGCCCCTTCGATGCGTCATCTGTCGAACGAAGGTCCTACGACTCACGCAGCAAAATCAACATTCCAACTCAGACTACTCCTGCCAATGCCCCAATTCTGCCTCCATCTCATCTGGTCAGCTTCGCTTTATTCTTCGCTTTCGATTTCTGTTATTTTGCCAGGAAAAAAATGTTTTAAGTTTTTTTTTTTTTCATCGTCGTTCCTTCACCCCTCTCCCGCTTCGACGCCACAGCCTCTGCCGAATCGAAAGGACCCCATTGGGAGTCACTGGGCAGAGTTTAATGTGAAATGGATTGGACAGAACCACGGTCACGTCCCTTTTCGCATGCATGGGACCATAGCGTCGGATCTGTCATCCATCTGTCCTGGACAGAAGCGAGTGACGTTCTTCATTTTCTTCTCTCTCTGCCAGGCTTGTCTTCCGTGTCGTCGTGCAGCTGGTCGAGCGTGGGATCCTCTTCCTCTTCCATGGGGAAACCGAAACACGGAAAGAAGGCTCCTCATTCCAATCCCCTCCAATCCAGCAAACGATTCTCCTCGCGATGTCATCTCTCGCACGTGAGTTCCCCACGTGCCCGGTTCGAAACTTTAGACGATCGCGTCGTGATGGCCACGTTCGCTTGCACAAATCCGGTGAAGCGTGAAGAACGGACTGACGTCATTCATAGGGCCATGAGCGGTTAGGAATCTTCTCGTGCAGAAACTCGGGGATGCTTCATTGTAATACCTGGAACTTGATTATGTTTTTCTAGCTGCCAACGAGAGGAGGAGCTTTCTTAGGAGTAGCGTTTGACGTCATTCCGTTCTCCGAGGCGAAACATACAATAATCCTCATTCATGCGGAGGAAGCACCTGAATGGGGTCGTTGTCAAACAGATTGCGAACGGAAAGAAATCAAGCTTTTTCACCTCTTTCTCTCGCAATCAAAAGAGTTCGAAGGGGGACATGAAAGAAGCAGGTAGAGGAGAGGCAGTTTTCCTTCGCAACAGGGGTTATGAGCGATACGTTTGACTTGTGCGGGTTGGGCGGAAAGGAGGAGGAAGAAGACGACGAAGGCGTCTATCCCCCTTTCTCGAAAGCATCGATCCTCTCGACCCCCTCCTCGTCACCCCCCGACGGATCGATGACGTCATCCGTGACGTCACCATCACAAAGGGAGGTCTTGGGTGGTGAAGAAAGATATGAATCGATTGAGGAGGAGGAAGCGGAGATTGCGTTTTGGCACCGGACGGCCGGGTGAGTTGAGTTGCAACTTGCATTGCATCGCGTGACTCGCGCTCGTTGCGATAAGGCGAAACTCCATTAAAGGCGCGCCGGAACAGGGGAAGGCTGCGTAGGAAAAAAATCATTTTATCGGAAAATAAACGCCTCGCCTTTGTGGAGGCTGGGGGGGGGGCAATTTCCCATCAGATCCCAGCGGGGATAATAATAGGGTTTCCAATCCACCTATGCACGTTCTCTTTTCTCTGCTTTCCTGACCTTTCCTTTCTTATCGTTTCCCTTTATTTTCATTGTATGTAGGGACGAGGAGTTGGGAGGAAAGGGAGTTCTAGGTCTCCGTCTCCTCGAACGACGACGACGCCGACGCCGACGACGCCGCCACCGCCGGCGACGCCGACGACGAAAAGGACGACGAAGGCGAACATTCCAGATCCAGGTGATGGGAGAAGTCCCGATCTGGAAAATCCTCCCTCCGCGGAATTCCACAATCTCCCTCCCATAGTCCAGTTCCAATTGGAATACCGACGAGGAAGGGCCGAGGCTTACCGCTCCACCAGGATCAGGTAGATTTATATCTCCGTTACTCCCTCATCCGGCCGGATGAGTCTCGAGAAGACGCAATGCAATTAAGCATGGCAGGGTTTCTGCTGCAGGGAACGACGAGACCAGAATGTAAAGCCACTTTTAAGCAAGTTCCTCAGTCTTGCAAAGGTTTCACTCGTTCTGTCTTTGGGTATACAGATGCGCGGAAAACCTGGTATCTCAAGTGGAAGGAAGGCGAGGAAGAAGCCAGGAACGAGCCCGGCCGAAGTCGGCGTCAACCCCATCATCACCTGCTTCATCACATGCATCATCCTCATCGACTATCGCTCGCGGCAGCGGCAGCAGCAATAAAGACGAGAAGCAGCTCAAAGGAATCTTAAAGAACAAGTAGAATTTACTCCTAAGCAATACTGCTTCGTTTTTTTTTATGTACTCCTTGTCACTCGGTTTTTCTTCAGTAAGTGCCAAACTCCTTGTTTTCTTTACTTCTTCAGTTACTATGGAGAATTCTGGAATGCCCCATATTATTGACGAGTTTTTCTTGTTCGAAAGGTCTTCCATAGGCAACGAGACGTCCCTATTTGTCATTTTCTTTGTTGTTTCCCTTGTTTTCATTAGTTACTATGTTACTAGTTATGTCGTTAAGAGACCATGGCCAAATTGTTTTTCCAATCCCTATTTATTTTTAAACGGTGAAACAATCCCATTTCTGAGCAATTCAACTTAATCGATTTAAAAAAAAAAGAAGCCAAAAGAATGCAAAGCATCAGGGGGTCCTGTTCATCTCGTTAAGCGCATAATGAAATCGGCTTCATTCAAGGATTTTCCAGGATCTCATGCATAGAGGGTTTGGATCATGGCGAGGGATGACTCATGAATGCAGAGTAACCATACTCTAGAATATTCTTGCCAAATGCTAGTCCTGTTATATCTTGCGAATGCGGAGACTAATTCTCTTCAGGCGCTTGGTGCTTCCGTGCAAGTGAAACTGCTAGCCTTAGTAGCTTTCTGATTCTTGTGTTCATGTACGTCTCAAGTGCAGTGCAGTTCATTGAGCTCCTGAGAAAGAGCACAAGAAAAAGAGAGGCTTATTTTCGCCCAAATGCGCTTTTTCTAGACAGAGCTTGATTTTTGTGAGCGTGTGCATGCATCTGCATCGTCACCATCGTCATCCTTCAGACAATAAAGAGACTCTCATAGGGAATCTCAGATATTCACTCTCCACTTTTATTAATATCTACAGTATAACAACATGTTTACTCACACAAGGAAACTGAAATCAATACTTAGACTGCATTGCCTGGGTGGCAGCCTGGACACACCGGGCCATGATCCGAGAAGATCGACTGATGGAATCCGTCATGTAGAAGTCCTTTAATGTGAGGAGCCTGGGAGACAGCGAATCTGGTGCCAGACTCCCTTTCAATGACTGGAGGAAAAATAAAACAAGTTTCAGTTTGAACTCAACTCACAAGTTACAATGAGATTTATAACAAATTTCACCTGAGCCAGTTGGAGTGCTTGCTTAAAATAATTAGCCTCCTCAGCATTCCCATAACGAGTCAGAGTGGGAGAGATTTCCCGCATCCTCTCTCTGACTTCCTTCAGGGTTTCATATGGTAGACGCAACCCAATGATCTGCAGAGAAAATTTAAGTTAAACACACAAGTAAACTTACCACATGCTTATATATACACAAATTTCTCATACCATAGTTAAGACAGAAAGTTACCTCAGAGAGAGCACGAATGATTTTCCAATCCTCTCGAGCCATTCCAGGTGGAGTGACAGCAACCAAAGTTTGCTGTGCCCTTCCCTCTGTGTTCACATATGTTCCCTGCTTCTCTGTGTATGCTGCCCCAGGTAAGACAATGTCAGCCATTTCGACACCTTTGTCTCCATGATGACCTTCAGAAAAAAAATCCCTTCATCACAAGAACAAAGACAAACAGATCAATAGGTGAAGATCAAGTGGGATATGCACCAATGTATACAACAGTGGTGTCCTTGGGTATGTCCTGTTTTGTGAGGGCATTCTCATCAGCTCCAAGGAGAAAGAGGACTTTAGGAGGGTGTTTGCGAATCACATCCACTCCTGGCTTGTATCCAAGATCAAGAGCAGCCACCTGTGATGCAACTCTGTGCAGGACATTCAACACACGCCAATTGCTTTCCACCTGCAATGTAAGACTAAATCAATTTGATTTGTTCGTGAAGAGTCAACATGACACTAGAGAGAACCAAAATATCCATGACAAGTTAGAGGCTCCACATTGTAGTGATGGCAACTTGAGACCATTTCCCTGAATTCTTCATTCACATGGCAGTTCGCTCTACTGTTGTAAGCTTACTATTCCAGTTCTACCCATTTTGAGCAGCTTTCTGCTCCAGTCAAAGGCTTAAAAAAAAAAAGGGATGAAGAAAAAGGGAGAACTTCTCAGGCCAAGTAAAACCTCAACAGGCAAGAAAGAGCTCAAATGAGCCAAAGAGAGGGTGCCCATTGGCAGATTCTACACAGGGTTCTCTGGGCAAACCACCAGTACCTTGAGATATATCCAATCTTACACCACTTCAAGCAAGAAGAAAAAGCCCTGTAAAAAGTTCTGTCCTGCTATGAGAAAAAAACCATAGGGTCTTTGATCCTCTCATAAAATAACATTTGGAGGAGGAGGATGAACAACAAGAGATAAAAATCCAATTAATTAAGGCAAACAATTCACAAAAAGCTTATTTAGAAAAAAATGAACAAGATGTCATGGGAAGAGAGGGTCATGTTAGAATCTCACATTAAAGTCCCAACAAAAAAATAGCTTCCATTTCTCCTTTAAATTCCCTGAAAAATGCATCAGCCAAACTTATGGGTAATGCTTATCATTAGAGATGCAACGATATTTTATCGGTTATCGGTATCGGCCGATATTAGGTGAATCCGATATATCGGCCGATATTAGGTGAATCCGATATATCGGCCTAAAACGATATATGACCTGCCGATAACCGATATTGAAATTACACCTGAAGTATGCCAAACTACTTTTAGACCTTTCCAGCCTGTCTGTCTGCGTCCGTCATGGTTACCTATTGCTGATATGAGGGCTTAACGGCACTACTCGCTAATGCACAGCATAAAAGGAGATGCAATTATTTCACGATCTTTACCGTTATTTTCCTCCACCAGTTCCTACAATCGGGCTGAAATACAAATAAGTCCTCGATTTACATCGTGGATGCGTTCCCGGAAAACATGACGTAAAACGAAACCTATTTTCCCATGGACAAAATTATATACAGGAAGTCCTCGATTTACGACGTCATATCGGAACGACGCAACGTATATTTTAGCGACGTTATATCGAAACGACGTAAATCGAGGACTCCTCGCATAATCTGATCGATACTTTTTTCTGGGAGGACGGCAGGGAAGGCTTTCAGCGAGACAGGTGGGCCGGCAACAAACCGCGCTCACACTCACGTAGTTTTTTTTTTTTTTGCATTTTGCCCTCTTTCAGGCTTCGGCATCAACAGCTTCCAACCTTACCGTAGCCATGGCGTCCATGGTGCAACACCAGAGGCGAATCTCTGTGGTTGTCAATACGTCGGTGCAGCCCTAATTTATAAAAAAAATATTAATAATGTCATAATTTATATATGAATATTTATAATGTAATGCATTACATAAATATTTTTGTAGATAAATAGATTATGATTGATTGCTTAGAAATGTTCCTGAAAAGCAGTTATGTTCGCATTTCATCTTCATGGCAAATTACCTGATGTGTTAACAATTTGTCAGTCATGTCTGTCTGGGTGTCCATTAGAGGTATGAAGGAGGGAACTTTGACATTCTTGACATTTTCTGAACTGAGTGCTACTTTGAAAAAAAGAAAAAGAATTGCTATTCCACCTTATTGCAAGTTCTATGATGGAACATAGGAAATAAAATGCCTGATGCAAATCCAATGTAATATTTAAAAATATCCACATTGAGGAGCCTGTCTTCAGCATGAAGAAAACATTTCTTTTCACTATTGGAGAAATGGCAAAAGCATGAGGTGCACCACTGGTGCACCTCAAGCTTTCCCCATCAGACCTGGCCCAAAATAAAACTTAAAAGTGGAGGGGTTAATGCCTGAGGGTGGATTTTTGAACAGAGAACAATCTGATAATGCAGCTTTATTCTGGGGTAAACACACATTTCCTAGAAATAAAGCAGTGTAATCAGATAGTTCACTGTTCAAAATCTACCCTGAATGTGCAAATATAAATGTATATAAAGATATCGGTATCGGTTATCGGTATCGGTATCGGTTCTTTTCCAATATCGGAATTATCGGTATATCGGATATCGGCCAAAATTCAATATCGTTGCATCTCTACTTATCATACAATTATTGAAGAGAAGGTGTGGCAAAGGCCAAGAGAGGAAGTGAAAGCACAACATTACAGTCACATGGTATAGTGCATAGTTAAAAAATGAAACTATGTACTGGCTAGAGAGCTTCTGTGGAAAAGGTATGCAGGATTCAATGATATGGGCAAACCTGGGATGATTGTCTAAGTTTTTCAGCAAGAGCCTGAGCAAGGGCAAGGATGATGGGGCCATCAGACCGCTGGAGGATCCCAGACCCCACAATGACAACAGGTCGTGTGGCCTTCTGCAGGGTTTTCCAGAATGGATGTTTCCCCACTGATAATTCCTTCAAAATGTCACCACTCTCACCCAGATGCTACATGCAATAACACCAACTATTCTCATAATATGGTCCTGATTCCAAGGAAGAAGATATGTGGAAGGGACAAACCTTGTAGTCATAGGTAAGGTCAACTTTCTTCCCAATGAGAGCCACATCTGCTTCATTGTGAATCCATCCTTTCCGGATGCGGGCATTCAGAAGGGGAGCCTCAAACCTTGGATTGGTGCCAACAAGAAGGATCTGATCTGCCTCTTCCACCCCTGTATGAAATGAAGCTGATGAAAGTAAACTGAAGAACAAGATGAGTAAAACTGAAAACAGCCTGAATCTTACTTGCAATGGTTGAGTTGAGGAGGTAGTTTGACCGGAAGTCTGTGCCAGTCATATCATCACAAGGGAAGATCTCTTCTGTGCAAACAGCTTCACTACCCAGGCAATTCAGAAGATCTTTCATAGCTGTCAGAGCCTGTCAAGAGGGCAAGAAATGAGAGGTCCTAGAAAAATGATAAAGAATCCACATATGAAAAGTAAGGAGAAAGTGAGAGGTCAACCTCAGCATCACAGAGACCACCAGCAACAGCAGCCACCTTCCCCCCAGCAGCCTTCACTTTCTGACTAACAACCAGCAGTGCATCTTCCCAATCACAGGGTACAAGTTGTCCATCTGCATCCTTCACCATTGGGAAAGTGAGCCTCTGTCTCTTCAATCCATCATATGCAAAACGGGTTTTGTCAGAGATCCACTCTTCATTAATATCCTGTAAAGAAGAAGAATATGATCAATGGCACAGCAATTAATATCTTTTGTACAGGTTCTGCTAAAGTGAAAAATACCTCATTCATGCGTGGAAGAATCCTCATGACCTCTCCTGTTCTTGTGGTGACAACAATGTTACTTCCAATGGCATCAAGGACATCAATGCTTTCTATTTTCCTTGTCTCCCATGGTCGGGCAGTGAAAGCATAGGGCTTGGATGTCAGAGCACCCACTGGGCAAATATCTATCACATTTCCAGAAAGTTCTGAGGCAAACATTTTCTCTACATATGTCCCCACCTGCCAAGGAAATTGGTTGGGTCAGCCCACCTTCTGGAAGGCTACATTGCACAGAATAGCCCATTCACTCACCTGCATGTCCCCACCTCTGCCTGTTGTTCCAAGGTCATCAACACCAGCAACTTCTGATGCAAAGCGGATGCATCGTGTACATTGAATACATCTCGTCATGATGGTCTTAATCAGTGGGCCAACATTCTTGTCCTCCACAGCTCTGTAACAAGTTCCAGTTATTTGTATATTCTGCTTCACTCACTCCTCACCACTTTTTCTAGAGTATGAATTAAAGTTATCTCCATTCCCCCCTGTATTGGGTGAACCATGGCAAATTGGGTGATTACTCAGTATCCCAGCTTGAAGGCAGGTATGCCCCACTTACATCCATGCCTCTAGCTCCTTGGTAATTAGGCTCTCAATCCTTAAAAGTGCCATTAAGAGGTATACATATGCAGACCTCAACAATGTGACAGTATTTTGAGGGAATATGGCCCTTCACATTGAATTCCCTTACAGACTGAATATTTAGCTTGGGCGAATTAAAAAAATTGTTCTATCGAATAGTACATGCAATTGCTGTAATGTTCATTAATCCAGTTCTCACTGCAATTTGGGATAAATTGATGTATTGAAAGTCATATGTGTACAATTCTTCAACTCATGACCCTGAAGTTAAAATGAGCCTCAAGCAACTAAACCCTTAAATGCAAGATTTTTTCTTTTTCAGTGAAAAAAATATGGTAGGTTTCACTTGCATCCTAGCACATGGAAACAAGTGTGAAAAAGTTTTTAAAATCAAATTTGTAAGCAGTAGGCCTGAAAATGTTATTCTTGCTCATTTGCTACAAACAGCATTTTCAGCTTTCTAACCCATGCTGCATGGATGCAAGAGAGCTCAGTCGGTCTGTCAACATTCATACATACCTCAATGCAAAAGAAAATGTAAAAATACAGATGAGCCAGGATGCTGGATTAGCATAAAGTTTAAGAAAATTACACCAAAAATGTCAATTTGTCACACAACGAGGTCAGAAGTTTTTAATTTGCTTGCCAACAGGAGTGTATGGCACCTAGTGACCGCATAGTTGCTAGGTATAAGGACTGGAGCATTGCACATCTGCTACGAACAGACTTACCACAGGAACTCGCTACCTGTGCATTCTAAAAATTTTACTTGGTATGTAGCATATCTGCTACATCATGCATTAAAGGGTTAAATGTATATTTCCTAATAGCAGCATGGATACAGAAACCATTTGTTAAGAGTTATTCTATAGTCCCTCCAGAATGTTTGCAGAAAGCACTAGCCCCTTCACTTGCAGGTTGCAAACAGTGTTGTCAATTTTGTCATGAAAGTCAATATGCGGGAATATGGCCATCTTGATTTGAGGTAGCATGAACACATCCTTCATTTCATGGTAGCACTGCACTGACCTATTGGTAGTGTCAGCTTCCTTTCATGTGGGACCTCAGGCAGCAAAAGATCATACTATGCACTTCCTCTGGATATATAGAGAGATGTAGAGGACATCTGGACGAAATATGCACTACATGAGGAACCAGTACATAAGGATATGCTCATGCACCACCTCCTGGACAACTCCAGAAATTTTCATGGAATGAAATTTGAAGGCAATTAAATATCCTTCATATAAGAAAGTTAAAAGGGCACTCTGTGAACTTTTTGGCACTATTTATGCATGCATGCAAAAACTGCAAAACATTTTTCTTTCAATGTAAGACCTCATATTTCACACTTTACACTTTCACATTTCACACTCGCATGTTCACTTTAATCTATGCTTGATCACTCCTCTTACACGCACAGTCTCTAGATAAAGTCTTCCAATCACATGCAATGTTGCTCAAAAGAAATGGTGTTGAATTCATGCTTTCCACAATGATCCCCTGAATCAGGTAATGATGTTGACTTCTTTGCTTGTCCTCAATGCAGTTAGTTTTTTTTTTTTAACTGCTGAGCATCCTTTAATATTATGTTTCAAGATACTCAGCATGTTCCAGCATATTTCACACATTCCTGGAAAACCTGGAGTTGTTTTTTCAGAAGTGACCGTATTCCCCCAACTATAGGGGTAAGATGGCCTTTTGGAACCAACTTGAAAAAGATCTAGAGGCACCATATCCATGGGGTTTTTTGCATATGCCTTGCTGAGATTTAGTAAAGGAGATATCAATCAATATTTTAAAAATATTGTAAAAGTCAAATTTGACCTTGATGGGCTGTTATGACCAGGTTTCATTTTCTAGGGCCATATTCTCCCAAATTACTTTAGTTGGTCTTACTACTATTTTTTTCCAAAAAAAACTTCCCTCTTGGTTTATCTATTTTTCCCAACAATGTTGAAGAGCTTGCATGGTCATTTTCAAACTGAGATTCTTTCAAGTTCTCTTTGTGGAAATGAATAAGTGAAAATTGGAGGGCACTTAAATCAGGACTGTAACCAGGATAGGACAGTAAAATGTTCCTCTTTACTTACAAATACCACCTTGGTGGTTTTGCATAGTCAGGCAACATATGTCATGCAACAGTATTACATTTTCTCGCAGCAAATCAGGAGGTTTCATCAGTGCTCTACTTAGCTTGAGAGTATCCACTTGGGAAAAAACACAAAAATGGTTGAGATATTTCTCATTAACTCTACCAAGATCTCCAAGATCCTTTCCAAAATGCAAATGCAATAATTTGGCAGCAGATGGGAATGATTTGAGTTTCTCAGATGGAGGAGAACCATGCTATTTCATGCTTTCATGTTTTCCTCTGGTTATTAGCATTGCACTAACATTTAATCTCCCATGATGATCTGGTTGAGAAAGTCAACACCTTCCCTTTGGTTAGACAAACCCCAAGCCAATTTCTTCTTTCTGTCAGTTAATGTGATAACTGCCTCACATTAATTTTCAAACATTGCAGTTTGCTGCATAGTACTTCTGAACTGATTCCCTTCACCAACTTCATTATCAATAGCATTAATCTCAGCAATGTTCTTGAGTCAATGCTGTTGTAGGGTGCTCTAATTGGTTCCCATCTTTAATGCTTGCTTCCCCATATTAAAAATGCTTCACCCACTTTTGAATAGCTCACAAGCTAATGCAGTAGTTTCCATACACAGCTTGCATACATAAGTGGATTTCCAGACAACATGCACCTTACTGTGGCAGGAACTCAGGTGCAGCTTTTTCCTTGAACCCTTCACTACTTTTCATCCTGTTTGCTACTGCCATGTCATGTCATCTCACTAGACAGACAGATGAATAATCTAGGTTTTGTCTCATAGCAAAATTTTTAAGTACCATTCATGTAGGTTGAGTGCTTGACCTAAAGCTAGGATGTGAATAAGGTTACAAATGCCTCTGGACATCAATACCAAAAAACTTTAACAGCATGGGCAAAAGGGAGAGGAAAAAATTTGTGAAACCATGAATGACAGTGGGAAACTTGCCTCTTCCCAGAGAATGAGATATCAACAAATCGTGAACGATCACTGCCAAATGCCATGGATTGGTCCTGGAGATCACATTCTCCCCCCTGGTCACAGATGGGACAGTCAAGTGGATGATTCATAAGGAGGAACTCCATGACTCCTTCTCGGGCTCGTTTGGACATCTCAGAGTTGGTTTTGATCCTCCAGCCTTTCATGACCGGCATAGCACAGGCTGCAACTGGCTGAAATATTTAAGGAAAGAGGAAGAAAATGAGAGGGCCAGCTTTTGATGAGAGTTTTCCAAAGGTTGAATATCATAATTTAGTCAACACCATCAATGGCAACTGGAAATGGCCAACCTTAATGGACTTCTCCACTTCCACAAGACACATTCTGCAATTCCCAGCAACAGAAAGTCGCTCATGGTAACAGAATCGAGGAATTTCCACTCCTACCATGGCAGCAGCCTGGAACAACCAAGTCATGTTATCCAGGGGTAAACTATTGCGGCTGCCAATGACTTCAAATGTTACTATGCCTAAAGCCTAGCTAGAAAAAGTGCTCCTTGGACCTGAAGGACGGTAGTGCCAGGGTCAACCAGGACTCTCTTCTCGTCGACGAAAACTTCGATCTTCTCTGGAGCCTGGGTAGCAGCGCCCCTGCAACTCACTGTTTTCAGTAGAGTTTGGGCATTTGAGCCCAGAGCTCCCAATCGAGTCACAGGGACCCTAAACATTCTTGCTGATCGTTGGCTTTTTTCTCAAGTATACAATGACGGATTTGGTGCTGAATTGTTAAGCATACATGAACTATGGCTGGTAACTGGAATCGCAATGCCACGAGCTGCAGCGCGCGGCCATGTTAGGGGTCTAAATGTCCGTAAATGATAAACTTTACTTATTATTTGTTCGGAAAGACAGCATGCAACTCCATAATCATTTGTTTTTTCCTCATTTTTAAGCATTTTGATAGTTTATGCACAATTTTTTGTGAAGTAAGACTTTTTGTTTCTTTAGAAAGAGAAGGAAGCTAGGAAAGTATCATGACGAGAATTGACCATCCTACACCAAAGTCTCATGTCTCCCTCCTTAGTGAAAGCATGGTCCTAAAATTTTGGCTATCGCCGGCGATGGTCGAATCTTTGGAGTTAACTTAGACTTTAGAAGTTTCCTAGGCACAAATTCATGAATATGATTAGATATACCAACGCAAAAAGCGTTTTACAGTACCTAGGCCTTACTTACAGGTAGCTGACACTGATTTTTGTGGAAAGGGCTCCCACACCATTGATTCCTATTGTTAGGAATAATCACCAAGTTATATGTCTGTAAGGACATTTAACTTTATTCTAAAATAATCACTTGGGGTTTTCCTGAATGCACATCTGGCAGTGGACTACTGGAGCTGCATTCAATCAGAAATATCTGTATTATATTTTTATACATTTATATGTATTGTATGGCTATTGGGATCAACATATCCTCACTTGCCTACGAAATGCGTCAAAGCACCCTGATGTTCTCCAAATGGCTATTGGGAGCCTAGGCATTTGCATGAAAGGAATAATTTTTTTTGAGGGCCATGTATTCTACATATAGGCATGAGCATTCAATGGTGTTCCTTTGTTTTGTGCACACATACAATCTATTCTCACATATTCTCACATGAACTTCGTTGTGTGCACAGTACATTCTAACAAATTCTGCATTTATGCTATGGTTATAACCAAAAACAGATATTCCTGTCGTAGCATCTTGTCTTGACCCTATTACTTTTCCGCAGAAATAAAGTTACAAAGCATGAAGGATTTTTAAAAATCTAGTTTCTGGTGATTCTTAGTCTCATGACATGGAATTCACATTTGAGAAATCAATCAGCGCCATTAGCCTTGTTCACACTGCTACTGTGGTTGTGGCACAAGAGCAGATTCTTGTCTTATCCCCATGAATGTTATGTCAATGCAGTCAGACCTGTGAGCCTGAGTTTGACAGCATTCACACATGCATCTTATAGGCATCCCAATGTGACCTTATTCTTTCCCTCACTGCAGTGGATGTGCCTTTTAGGCATAGGGGTTCTTGGTGGGGCAATGACTGCTAACCCCAAAATGAGGATGACAAGCAGACCAGAATGATATCAAGGTTCCCATCTTCACAAAGTGAAGATGGGAACCTTGATATCATATCTTGATGTATCTTGACATCAAGAAGTTATGCAATGGCAAGAAAAGCATCTTTGGTTCCATGGAGTTTTGCATTGGGTCCTGAACAGGATGTGGTGACCGAATGTAAAGTATTCATTGGAGGAATGGAGTGGGCTCAATCTGGAAGACTTGTACTTTGTATTTCAAACTTATGAGGCTCTCAACCTATGAGCAAGCCAAAGCTAAACTCAGATATATTTACTGGGAGTGTGTTGCATAGGCACTAGCAAATGGAAGCAGGTGTTTTAAAGAGAGTAGCAGAATGGTGGGGAGGAGAACATAAGAAGCCATCTGTTTTATTAGGTGAAGGCTATCAGAGACTGGGCATAAAATAAAGGAAAACCAATTCGGCCATATCTATCAGGACTTTCATTATTCTGGCTTCCACTTTAGGCTTCCAGATCCCTACAGTCAAGGTAAATGATCACTGGCATACTTCAATAAAGGGAGATAAAGACTGAATGCAAAAGCAGCTCTCTCACATCACATATTCACCACCCACTCACTTCAATCACTTAAGCCACTAAGGTCCCTGTATACCAACTTCCAACCAATAGTCCAGCAATCTCTATACTGCCTTCCTGCTCCTGTGGCAGCCATACTGATGAGAAGGAACTAGTACTGATATCATAGTCTTATACTACTCTGCCTAATTCCTACATTCTGAGATGACAAAGCTCAGGCTGATGTTCCTGACAACTTCTTGGTGTTTCCATAAACTTAAAACTAATTGCTGACTCTCCATATTCTACAGTCCACTTTAAAATTTCTATATTCTACCTTTAATAGTGACTTCAAGTCAACCATTCCTGCTTGTCATCATGAGCAATGAACAACCTTTCATTCTAAACTGAAAGAAAATGCAGAAAACTCGAGAAAATGTAGCCAGCTTACTGAAATTTATAGGACTACAAGAAAGTAAAACTATCATGTAGCACAATCCAGATCTGAAACTTGTAATGGGACTATAGACATTCTCCAGGTCAAGAATACATAAAAGACCATGTTGACTTGAAAATTAGGATTCTACAATACATATGTAATTTTAAAAATTCCCCCTCCCCATATATTCTGTTATGAGAGAATTAGCTTTTAAATTCAGCATTGAAGCTGCACAGTTGTAAATTTGTTGGCCTTTTGAACAATGAAAAACTGGATAATGGGTATCACATGCACAAGTGGTAGTTGGTAGTGAGTTTGATTCTCATGATACCACCCTGTCTTATCAACCACAGAAGGTACTTTATATCAGGGAAGCTTCAGTACCAGACCAGATCTAACCATTTGTTTGATTTGGTCTGGTCTGATCTGACTTGTCAGTATGGTTGCATATATGAAAATGGCAGGTTTTCATCGAATCCCAGCCTAAAAAAAAAAAAGAGGTACAAAAAGCAAAAGAAATGTGTTCCTTTGATTTTTCCTTTGATTTCTTACCTTCTCTGGCTAAAGAAATCTAAATGCAATGTGTTCAGTGAGTTCAGTGTCAGTGAGATGTCTCTGATTTTCTTGAGATGTGGGAATCCAGTGACTGGAATGGATAGTGGTGACTGGGCTTAACATTAGATTAGATTATCAGCTTGGCATTGTTTGGCGTACTTACGATGAGCTCAAATCAGTAGTGCAAGTTAGGTGTGATAACTGATGTTACCTGTGACTCAAGCTTGAAGCCTTACTTACTGAGGATAATTTTCATACTGGCTAACTTTCCCTGTCATGTATTGAATCTTAGATCAGTTATACCTTTGCAGATTGCAGCATAGCCTAGGACCAATGCTATGTTTTAAATTATAGTTTTCAATGATCTTAAATTTTTTTTGCATTTTTTTCCCAACAGATTTTGTTTTATATACAGGTGAAAGGATTTTTTTCTGTGGAAAAGTGACCTCAGCAACAAATTTTTTTTTTGCTTGACATTTATTTCATTGTTCTTTCACAAATTAAAAAATACAGTCGCTCAAACTTGAAGCTGCAAGTTCAGAGGAGTGAATTCTCCTGACATATTGACTAATTCATGTCGAGATATCCAGGTGAGTTGTGACTTTACAATGAGGATCCATTGAATTGATGATGTGATGTAGTTAGCATCTACTTGCCTTTGTGCAAACTCAATCAAACCTCATACCTCGCATCTTCTTGTATCCCATGTCCAAATTCCTGGAAAATTGATTTTTACATTTTTTAATATTCATTGGAGTAAAATATTCCATATTCATAAGTTTAGATAAATGAAAGAAAGTAGCTGAACTGCAAATAATTAATATAAAAAGGCATTGAATATGATGTAGCTGGTATATTTTTTATATTTTGTTTGGGAAAATGCTTGAAATTGAAGAGGATATTTCCTACTTTTGACTGCACTGCTAGTACTGGATCTGGAAAGATATAATAAGATTTCAGAGCAAGATAAAAATTGAGAAAATTAAGTATTGGATAAGGAAAGCACATCTTTATCAAAACAAATTTGTTAGATATAGGGCTACATTGTACTAACTATAGGAGGCTTATGCATGGACCTTCTAAGGCATTAATAAAATATAATTTTTTCATGCAGGCATGAGACCATATGCCCCACCACCCTTCTATTCCCCTGCATTCCCACCACCACCATCCCAAGTGATGCGACCTCCACCAGGAGCATTTGATTACCCACCCATATATGCCCCCCGACCTCCACGCCTTCGACCCGGTGGACCCATGCGTGGACGGATGCCAATGCCCGGACGAGGAGGATTCCGTCCTCGAGGACCATTTCCTCCTGCTCAGCCACCTCCCATGAGGGCTCATCCTCCAGCTATGCCTCCTGCTGAGAGCATGAAAGGAGCCCCTCCAGGAGGGCTCAATACTCAACCACCTCTTCCTCCTCCTCCTCCTCCTCCTGATCACCAAAATGGGGATTTTGTGCAAATGGGTGCGTTTCTCTTCAAAGTTTTTATGCTGTCAGTAATAAATCTACTCTCATTTCCTAAGTCAACATCCAATGCTTTGTCAACATGCCTTCTTTACTGTCAGCCACTTTTAACTGTTTGATACCTTTTATATGTATAGGATGATTTTAAAAAAAATGCTCTACCATTTTCTATGGGAGAAACACAGTTTCATGCAATCAGCAAAGAAAATTACTTTGGATACATTATCAATATTTGACAGTTACAAGGTGTTGAAATTCTTGCCAGCTCTTTTTCAGCACCCCTGCCTAAGTCATGCAATGCTCATTTAGAGGTGAATTAAAGGTGATTAGAGGTGGATCATTCCACCTCAAGTGAGGTGATGACCTGTGCTTGACCATCTCAGTGTTCAATGACCTTTTCAACTTTAACTTTTCAAGGGACAGTTGGATCCAGTTAATACTTGACAGAGAGGTTCATGAGTCTAAGAAGTTTTTTTCACTTCTGCAAGATGGCACTGTACCCCGATAGAGGGCGCTATTGTTGATTGGGTGACCGAGGATGATTAAAAAAAGGTCCTCTGTTTTCAAAGGGGAGTGCCATCTATTGGGATACAGCACTATCTTGCAGAAGTGGAAAAAAAAACCTCTTACACTCATGAACCTCTCTGTCAAGCATCAGCTGGATCCAACTGTCCCTGAAAAAGTTAAAGTTGAAAAGTTCATTGAATTCTGAGATGGGCAAACACAGGTCATCACCTCACTTGAGGTGGAATGATCCACCTCTAAATGGGCATTGCATGACTTAGGTAGGGGTGCCGAAAAAGAGCTGGCAAGCATTTCAACACCTGGTAACTGTCAAATATTGATCATGTATCCAATGTAATTTTTTTTGCTGATTTTATGACACTGTGTTTCTCCCATTGAAAATGGTAGAGCATTTTTTTTTTCAAAGTCTATACATCAATGCCCTCAATATCCTCAATCAATACCCTATATATACATCAATGCTGAAAAAATTTCCCACCTTTCACCAGCCTAGAAATCATGTTTTTTTTATGTTGCCCTCCATGTGGCTAACAATGTAGCTCCTGCGTGGGGGATTCTTTGTAAAAATGAATTTATGGTATTACAATGGGTGATGTAAACTGCATGTTAGGGTAGTTGATGGAAACTTATACAAGGGGGATGTTTCCTTGCATACTTTTCAGTTGCCAGACTAGTTGATTTTCAATGACCATTTTCTTTTCACTCACATAAGCTACAATCTCTAGGTGAGATTATTGACACCATTTGATCAGCTCTATCAGGGGGTGGTGCATGACCAGCCTAGAGCATCAGTACCATGTGCTAAAAATTGGCTTGAGAAAGCTCTAAGGGAGTCAAGAATAAGGTTTAAATAGGGCAAAAATGTAGGAAAAAAAGAGGTTAATAGAATTTCCTATTTTACTTTTATTTATCTTGCCTTACAACCTCATGCCATGGTGGAGATGTGAACAAGTTATACCCTGCAAAACCCAAAGCATCACCTTTAACATGACCTGGTCAATAATGCCACTATCAGCACACTCAAAGTAGTCCTCTACGAAAATGTTACATTCAAACTCATGCCCTAATGCTGCTGACATTAAATTAGTACCCATATTGCCAGGAGAATTCTCTTATCATACAAAAATCTTCCAAATGTTTACATGTTGGACCTTCTCACCATACTTCTAGTGTTAATTTCTAACACTCCCAACACTCAATGTTTAATCTGTTCTTCTGTTAATCCAATCCTATTAGCTGATCCCTCCCTCACCTTCTTTCCATTGCATATGAGTCAGTCTCATCAACTGTCTCCTCTTTCTCATTGGTAACTGGGGCAGTCTCCCCTTCTTAGTTGGACAATTTGGTAGCTCAATGCCATCTGCCATCAATGCTGCCTGTAGTGCACAATTTGCATGTAACATGGTCCACAAACAGTATCAAAGGTCAAAGTTTCACCACAGGAAATACTTCCTGCTACAGTTGGGAATGTCCTACCCTGCCCAGAGGCTGTTGTTGCTCAGCATGGAGCCCATATTGAGCAACAACTCTAGTCAGATTGCTGTGGCATTTGTGCCTCACTTACACTGTGTCCTTTTGTGGCAAGTCTACTGTATTCAAATGCTCTTTTCCTGTCTTTAACCCCTTGGGGCCCACATCTGAATTATCTTGTGTTGGCCTCATGATGAGGGATGGATAAAATTTCGTTGACAATGCTGACTTATCCAAAATACTCGGACCACAAAGGGTTAATAAACCTACTATTGTCCCACCCCACCCTCTGCATTAAATGAACCCCACATTTCCAATGCTTGTCTCTTACATTCTAAGAAGCTTATGGTGCCAGAAGTTTACATGCCCAGTTTCAGCTACTTCTGTCCATTGGTTTGTGCTGTACACAATCATTCATCACTAAACTTTTCAAATGTGTCACCCTGTATACTTGTCTCAATGTCCTATATTTCTACTATCAGGTCAACCTTAGATCTGTGCCTTGCCCTCTAGAACAGTGATACCCAAACCACAGCTAATTGGTTTATTGGTGAGAATCCATCTCATGACTTTTCATCACACCTAAGTCAAGAGTATAAAAACATGGCCTGCAAAGGCCTCATATGTGGCCCATGAAGGCAAAATGCTCTTTCCTGTAAAGTGTAATATATTATTAATATAGATAAAGTCATTCTGCTTGAGTGTGGCCCATGTAAGGTTGGTTACTGCCAGATGTGGCCCCCAGTTTGAAAAGTTTAAGTTCCACTGCTATAGACCTTTTTATTTTAACAGCTTTTTGCCATCACCAGTGACTGTCAAATCACTGGGAGAGACAAGTAGCTGTAGACGCTCAGCTTCTTCCAAGTAGCATCTTGTCTCCCATTTATTCTGCTCTCTGCTCTACCTTTCCTTCCTGCTGTCTCTCCTAACTCATATGCAGAAGAGTTGCCATGTGCCTTGAGCAGCACAATAGCCTGCACACACACACACATATATGCATACATATGTCCCATTTGACTTAGGTGATGAACTCAGGAATGTTTGAAGCACATGACACACCATTTCAAAAACGAATTCTTCTTCTGTAAAATTTAGAAAGTAACTCTTTATGATTGGCACTGAAATATTTAGTGACAGAGGAGGTGCCTGTGAAAGTAGAACCAGAGGTTCCCACACCAGGGGAAGAGACTGGTTCATCTGAGCCTACCCCTCCAGCTGAAGATCCTCCCTTGCCCCAAGAACTCATTGATCAGATGAAGCCTAAACATTGCATGCTTTGTGACATCAAGGTTAGTCAGCCTCAGCCACAAAACTTCAAAGTGAATGTGTTCAATGACTTGGCCAAGGGTTAAAGGAATTTTTTTTGTTTGGAACTCTCTCAGTTGAATTCAGATATTCAAGCCAAGATGCACTATGAGGGAAAGCAGCATTTGAAGAAAGTGCGTAACTTCATGATCAACCATTGCCGCCAAAACAAGCTGCCCCTTCCAACCAAGTTTCGTGTGGATCAGAAGACAAGTCCCAATGAACAGGTTTGTTTCTGCCTGCCCCACCATAGTATAACCCTGGCAATGGGCTAAATACTTTTATACATTTCCTGGACTGGTTTCTTTTGCAGGCTGCTAGGCAAAGGCTCCAGTTGAATGAGGAGAGTGACCTGTATTGCAAGATTTGCCAAATTTCCTTCTCCTCAGCCCTGCATGCCCAGCAGCATTACATGGGTCGTAATCATCAACGACGATTGGAGGGGAAACCTCCATTAAAAACTGGATATTTCAACAAACACACTGGGAAATGGCAGAGATTGTTAGCCTCATTTTGCATATTATCATTTGTAAAGTCTTGGGGGCATCCTGAGGAGGTTCTAGAATGGATTATGAGTGACATTTTTCCCTTTTTTTCTTCTTAGACCTCCTAATGAAGTACCTGATCCAAAAGCATGGTGGAATAGGGACAAGGGAAAACGGAAGGCTACTGAACCCTTATCTCCTGGAGAGAAGCAGATTAAAATCACAAAGTGAGAGCCCTTTTTTCTTTTCTAACAGGGGCAGTTTTTTATTATCTGCATAATGTGAATCTTAGTAGAATTTGACTTGGCTTGGGTCTATCTTCAGGTTGCAGTGCACACTCTGTGGGATCTCAACAACAGGAGAAGACCAGATGAACATGCATATGAATGGTGCCAAACACCAGCAAATGCTTAGGAATGCTGGAGTCCCAAGTGCACCTCCAGGTAACTGAAATGCAATGTATGTGGCAACCCCCCCCCCCCCCCCCCCCCCCCCCCCCCCCCTCATAGATGAAATTGCATTTAATAGCCTCCTAACGATTTTGCAAACCCATTAACAGTCTCCATATGTTGAAATTGCAGTTAATTACGAATAGCCGGCATTTCATTGCTGTTGATTCTACGCTTTGTCATCACGGGCATTAGCAGCACCTGTTTTAGTCACTCTTTTTTCTGTTTGTTGTCTGGGGAACCAAAATATCTTCCATGTTGTTGACATTGCACCTTGTGCAACCTTGACTGCATTCAGCATCATATGTATCATAGAGAGAGTAATTTGTACATAGCCATGTAAAGAGGGGTACAAATGCAAGAGTAGGGAGAGAGAGTCAAGATGCCATTCAAGGTTGTTCCCCCTTGTTTGCTTCTTCATGCTTGTCAGTCGGAAATAAAATTCGTTTCCCAGAGTTTTCCAGCATTATCCTTTCCTCAAGCAGTTCATGCCATACGTACCTGAAGAGGGTTTTATGATCTAAGTTTCTATCTCTTCTATTGGTTAGATTTAGGGTAACAGTCCTCTCTGTTATCCTTCTTGATTCAAATGTTTCCACTTTGTGATAAATCTTGTCAAACTGTGGGTGATACTCTCCAGGTAAAAATAATGTGACTGATTTTTCCCTGCTGGTGTTCCTCCCCTGATTTATACAGGACAATGAAAATAGTACCACAGAAGAGCATAATTTATCCTCTTTTAAATTTTCCATGAAACATTGCATATCCTTGATATCTATTCCCAGGACAGATGGTAAGAGCATCTAAATGGGAATTTTCAGCCTCATGGAGGCATAGGATTTGGAAAATAGAAATAGGCAGCATATTTTGCTTTCAAGGCAACAAAAGGATCTCTGATCATCTCAAGAACTCATTTTGTCCTTGATTTTGTATGACTGCAAAATGGAGTTCCTACTCTCTTTGCCTTTAACTTGGTGTGCATTATGGATATGTGCAATGGTTCGTTCACAAATGGAGAGAGATATGGTAGACTGGTGCAAATTTCATTGCTTCCTGTAAATCATGTGAGAAACCAGTGGCAGTACTTTTTCCTGGAAATGTGTGATACAGACGTTTTTCTCTTGCTTTAAAGTCCTCATCTATGATAATTTGGTTTGCTGGTGTGAATTGTAAGAACTGACTCCAGAAAGATGCTTAATGTATGATACTCCATTGTGACTGGACTTCAACTAAGTATTAATTGTTCTTGGAACAATATGGCTGGACCTTGAGGAGAAGCTGTAGTGTGAGGGCTGGGAAGACCTTTGGCTTGGATGCATGAATCTCGATACTCACAAACAGAATGACTCAGGCAAAAAGCAAAAACTCGAAGCTTTGAGCTTCCCTGAAAGGTAATAACTGATTAATTATTTCATATGGAAAATCATGATTTTTTTTACTGCTTGTCCACACATGTTGTGGATATTGCTAAATATTACTTTCTGGAAGTTTTAAAAAGATATTGCATGGCAAAGTAGCTAAGTTACAGGATGAGTCATAGGCCTGAAGGTGGCCTTTTTCTGTGTTTTAGAGTATCAAGAGTTTTTAGTGTATTTTTCCCTTTTTCCTTCTTGGACTTGTTTTTTTTCAGATATGCAGATCATATGCTCTTAGCTATCTCCCTCCAAACTTTGGTGATAGCAAAAGCAAAATATGCAACATGATTCATAGTTTCACAGCACTTACGAATGTACCGTAATTACAGTTGTAATGCCTATCCAGTATCTATTAATACAAGGTTAATCACTGTCCACATGAGGTGCTTATGCCATTCCTTTTAATACCAGGAGGAAAAGAGGTACTGCAAGGTAAGGTGACTCGAAACAGATTTTGACTTGAAAATTAATTATATTGGAAGTTAAATTATGTCTCCCACAGCCGTTTGAGTTTTTGCTTGTGATTAGGTGAGATGGTTGTAATGGCTTTTTAGGGTGCGGAGAAAGAAACTTGCCGCTGCCTGAATTTTCATAATCAGTAAATCGATTATTGCTACAGTGGTTTATTTAGGATGTATGCAAATACGTACTGTCTTCCATGTTTTTTTTTCCAGAAATTTCCCCCTCTGGTTTAGCCACGGAAGCATTACAGATTGCGAGAAAAATATTTGGAAATCCCGCCTGTTTTTAGTCTCTCGCCAAATGAGTGGACACAGTACGCCTGATCGCTTTCGCGCCAACTTGCCTATCGCGTCAATTGTGATAATGGTGTCGTCTAAGGTAGACAGTGTGTGATGGAAACGAGTTTTTAAGACAAGAATGTGTAAAGACTTCATCCAAGGAGCAAGTTTTAATTGTAACTGAGGCTGAAAGCTGTCGTCTAGGTGCTACGACAACCCATCATACTTCAGTTTAAGTGAGTCTCCTTAGACTCGAGGGGGGTTCCAAAGGTTTTCCTTGCGATCTTCAACGTGCGACTTATCCATCATAGAGAAAATTCTGAAATAAATTCACTTTAGAGATAAGATGTGGATGCATGCCTATTGGAAAGTACGCTAACGAAAGTAGCTCTGACCAATTCTCAGAAATACACATTTGAATAACGGAGTCTTTTTTTTTCTTTCTCTCTCTCTTTCTGCACCCGGCATACGCTGGAAACTTCCACCTCGATCCTGGTAGTAACAAAACTAAGGTGTCTCAATCTTTAAGTCGATAGTCCTGTGTTCTAGGGGAGTTGGACATACAATGACTTTTATTATTATTATTCTGTTTGAAGTTCTTAGTATTTTTTTACCTCAGAGGTGGGACAACCTGAAATGATGCTTTGGGAAGGGAAGTGATGATGATCACTTCAACTCTCTTGTTCGAATAAGAAGAATCCAGGTGAAGGAGATTTGTAGAGACTTTGTAGAAGGCCTACATAAGAATTCTGTGGCGTTTCTGTAAGATTCATAAAGAATAATCTTGGTTTATATAATTCTTTAGAATTCTCTGTAGAGGGAACTTGATTTATCTTATAATATTAGCTGTATCTTATGAGAGACCCATAAAGTCTTCCTTCTAAAGAGGGTTCTATAGAATTCTGTAGAAACGTGTAGATTATTCTTCAGATAACTTATGGAAATGCTGTTAAACTCCTATAGAGGCCTTCTACAAAGTTTCTGTATGCTACTTTCACCTATAAAGGCAACCAAAAAAGGAAGAGAATGTGACTGACAGCAGGGAGTACTCAAGAGATTAATTTGCATTGAAATAAATATTTATTTGAGAATATGCATCATTAAAAAAATTATGCATATTCTCGAATATGCATAATAATAAAAAATGCAATTTAAAAATTATAATTGAAAATTGAGGGTTTTCTCATCAGCAGTAGTGGAGCTTGATGGTTTTTCAATTAAAAACTTCAAACATACACTTGACTGAAAAAGAAAATATTCTTAAGTTGAACTATTCATAGACGAACACTGAGCCAGTGCATTCTAAATTTCAAAATAGTTGTCCCTTTTGCAGAGAAACATGCAATAAATAAAACAATGTGGCGACTATCAGTGTTCTTTCTTGAATAATCCTTCATTTGAAGAAAAATAATTATTTAAAATGAGCTTGATTGTTTTCTCCATCATGGCTTCGTATGTTTTTTTTTAATGCAAGTTCTTGTCTAAAAATTAACATACCTGTATTTTTTATTCTCTGTTTTGTTTGACTTCAATGATGAGGCGACTTCAAAATGAAGGGACAAAATCATGAAAATAACTGACCGTACTAATATTGCCCCACGGGGTAACTCGGAACGGTCTTTCACAGCATTCCATCAAGGCATGATAGGAGGTAGAAGTACAATATTTATATGCCCTGCAAAGTTCCACGAACTCGTCCCAAAGCAACTTCTAAAACGTTCAGAATTTGTAGGAATAAAACCTCACGAGTGTTGCCTAGTCACTCCACCTTTCGGTGCCTAGAATGATGAGCAAGGATATCCAGAATATTCGATCGTTGGGGCCGCACAGCCTGTGGGTAGCGTACTCGCGAACCGCAAAATCAAAAGCTTGTGTTCTATAATAGATCAATCTGCTGGGGGGAGGGGGGGGCTGGCTGCTGAGCGGAAGCTTTACGTGTTCTACGCTGTCAAAAAAAAGGTGCAAGGTGTATTTATAATATAGTCGAAATAAATTAACTGAATGAGCAATAACCTGGCTGGCAGTAAACTGCCCCCTTCCAAGGTGCGCGGATGAAATATTAAGAAATTATTCGATGATGCTGCTTCTGAGCGAAACCACTCAGGGCCCCTGAAACCCAGAACAGAATATAAATCCAAAAACCAAACTATAGCAAACAGCTTGCAGATATGGGATAAAGCCAGAGAAAGTTTAAAAGAGGAAGGACAGCGAAAGATCATACCCTAGAAAATTGCCAGGCAGCCTGCGCCATCAGAAACGACGCAGGTTGCCTGGCATAATATGCATATATTTTGCCTCTACTATCTTCCAATGGCCAGCGCGGATTTCCTTCTTATGAAACCCGCGTTGGCCATTGGAAGATAGCAGAAACGAAAAAAGATGCATCTCACAGTCAACTAAAATGGAACAGTTGCATTTTTATGTAGTGTCCCAGAATTGACTGAACATAGGGGGTTTCGTATCCAGACCGCTCTGACCTGCTACCTTAGCTTCACGTGCTAAGCCTACAAGACAACGCCTTTCTAAGCCATAGGCTAGGCGGAAGGACCAATGTTCAGTAAATTATGAGACTCCCCGTATATTATGCAGCTATACAGTATATACAGGGTTGACCAAAATAATGTAAGCCACTCGAAATTTTGATATGAAGTTCATGTTTTTGAACGAATTGACTTGAAAATTTAATTGCACGTTGTCTAATGTGCTCTTCAAGAGCTAGAAGGAAAGGAGATAGTATGGCTGGAGAGCTGGAGGGTGATTGTGCCCCCACAGCTTAAGTCTATATCACCACCACCATAACTGCACATAGAGAAAGCTCATGCTGCAAGAAGGTACCCAGTGCAAGGTGTTCAGTGGGAATGGATACAACGATGCTCAGGAGAGCAGCCAATC